CCTTCCACACACAGAATGGAGAGGTCTACGAAGTCAACTGGTCCCGGCCGTGGAAGCGCATCGACATGATCCCGGCCCTCGAGGAAGCCACGGGCGAAAAGTTCCCGCCGGGCGACCAACTCCACACGGCCGAGACCAACGAATTCCTCAAGCGCGTGCTCAAGAAGTGCAACGTGACGTGCCCGCCCCCCGAGACCAATGCGCGCATGCTCGACAAGCTGGTCGGCGAGTTCATCGAGGAGAAGTGCATCGACCCGACCTTCATCATGGGCCACCCGCAGATCATGTCGCCGCTGGCCAAGTACCACCGCTCGTCGCCGGGCATCTGCGAGCGCTTCGAGGCGTTTGTGTGCAAGAAGGAGATTGTCAACGCGTACACCGAGTTGAATGACCCGTTCGAGCAGCGGCTGCGCTTCGAGGAGCAGGCCCGCCAAAAGGCCCAGGGCGACGACGAGGCCCAGATGATCGACGAGAACTTTTGCACCTCGCTCGAGTTCGGCCTCCCGCCCACCGGCGGCTGGGGCATGGGCATCGACAGGCTCGTCATGTTCCTCACCGACAACTACACCATCCGCGAGGTCCTGGCCTTCCCTTTTATGAGGGAGGAGAAGACCCCCGCCGGTGGCAAGGAGACTGCGGCGGTCCACGAGGTCGTCGCGACCAGACCGGCCCCTTAGCTTGAATCTGTTGGGATGTTTTTGCTGCCGGTGGTGCCGGTGGTGCTGATGCTGGTGCCGGTACTGGCGCTGTTGCTAAGAAGTCGTGTTTGACGAGCTCATGAGACCCCCTCCCCCTTTGGTTCCCCGCCTCCTCACTGGATTTTTCCATCTTGAACTGTGTCGGAGGGGCGGCTGGTGTATGTACGCGTTGATGGCGATGCTCATGAACGCAACGCAAATCAAGAGATACACAATACTTGCTATACTTACATGCATGCACGAGAAGAAGACAAAGACAAAGACAAAGAGCAGCCGAAGAAAAGAAAAGAAGATAGAAAACCCGCGCGCGCATACAAAGTATGTGTGTATGTATGTAGAAGAATGTTCGTCCTTCTTCCTTTACTTGACGAGACGAAGAATGATAAAGTTTTTGTGGTGTCCCGATACCATCAATCTGCAGTCCCGGTTCAGGGCCAGACAAACGGACAGACAGACAGTGGCTGAGACTACCTACCCACAGTAGTATGCATGTATGTACATATCGATGAGCATCGCTCGTGCTTTGGGACCCATTAATTAATTAGGACGCTCCTCCTCCGCTCACTTGGTGACTCACTAGTGATATGACTGCAAGTCACCCGGTTAGGAGGAGACTTTATCAGAGCTAGCATTGCATTACCATATCCTCTTGGCCACCATCTCGTACCGTCTGACTTTATCTAAGCTCTCGACCCCGGTCCCCTTTTCCTTGGTCTTCTTGTCCTTTTCCTCCCTCTCGCGCAGCGCCTTGAGCCCCGCCGGATCGTCCTCGTAGATCCACCGGCGTTTATCGTCGTCGACTTCGACGACGCCCCAACCCCCGACGCGCCGGCCGCCGTCGACGTGGTAGATCGGGTTCTTCTCACGCAGCTTCATCGACCGGTAGCGGGACCGCGCAAAGGCGAGGAGGAGCATGCCCAACACGAGCTTGCAGGCCAGGAGGATCAGGAAGAACAGGAGGAATAACAGTATGGTGGTCATGTGTGTGACGACGCTGGAGCTGGTGATGGCCGCGGGAATGGCTCTGATAATGTCGTCGACGGTTTTGGAAATCGCCGTACTCGTGGTCATGGGCATGTTCGAGCGGGCCGCAGAGTAATGCTCGTGGATGCTGGCCAGGCTTGTTGACGAGCTTGGCGAGCTTGACGGAACCCATGCGGCCATGAACATCTGGTATGTCTGCACTGTGGCTCGAATCAAGAGACAGCTTAAAGGGATGACCGGCAAGCCCAACCGCTTGGTCAGGTTCTGGTCGCCGAAAGCGTTTGTGTAATAGTCCTTGGCCAAAACATCCAGAAATCGGTCGTATATGGCAGGACGGGTGTTGTTAAACTTGTTGATATAAGCATGTTTGAGCCAGTCTACCAACATCTCAGACCCTAGAACGGCCAAAAAAGGACCGAGCACCTGACTGACAGCTGGAGCGTACGATGTTATCGTATTGATTGCAGCTGGTAACAGAGTGAACGACTTTGGAAGGATCGAGCTCACCGATTTCGGCGGAAGAGCGCTGGTGAAGGGAAGGCTGCTATTCGTAGTCAGTGGAGGCGCCGCTGCCACCGCACTCGATGCTCTGACAAAAGCGTTTAATCCTGCGCTTAATCCTCCCGTCTCCACGATGTTGCGCGAAGCAATAATGACCAGCATGTGCCAAAGCTGAAAGCGTTCAACGACATCGGCACAAGTCAGTTGAAAAAGGTTCTCCTTCTCAAATTTCTTGAAGACGGTGGATTTGATTTCCACAAACTGATTTGACAACAACAATGTGATGAGAGCGTTCGAGTATGAGTTGACAGCCACGTTGAGCGTGATGACTTGATAGAACAGAGCTGTAGAGTGAAGGACTGTGTAAACGAGTGCCAGCACGAACAACCAGAATGGCCGTAGAACTTTGCTATGGCCATCTGGCTTGCGTTCGAGGGCCTCCTTGGAGAACAAACATTCGAGAACATCTTGCCCTATGGCGGAGAACAGCCGATCGCAGACTTCCAGGAGGTTGTAGATGACATATAGCTTGATGGCCGCCTGACCACGAATCCAATGGTACATCCGGCTGGCATCAAGCCTGAGAAGAATAAGGCATGTGCAAATGATCAGCAGGCCCTTGAGCATGTCCGCTTTGTCATCAGGGAGCAACGCCGATGGCACCGACTTTGTCCTCTGATGCTGCTTCCCTTGCCTGCGATTGTGTGCTGCAATAGAATGAGCAGCTTTGCCTTCGCCCGCATCAGAACCTGAGGCTTTACGCGAAGAGGTCGGAACAAGACTGCTCCTTCGTCTTCTCCACATTCTTCCAGTCCCGTTGTACACAAAACTGGCGACAAAGTGCACTTCACTCATGAAGTTAATGCACCAAGATTTGACTAGAATGTAGAACGATTTGAGGAGTCTGAGTGGAAGGATCGTGAACGTATAGAGCCATGAATCGAGACACGCAAGGGTACCGAACCATAGGACGCTCTCGAGGTACATAGGAAGCAGCAAGAAGTTCATAAGTCTCTCGACCTTGACTCGTGAAGACTCGTATGGAAAGTCGCTGTTGGCAGACCTGTGGATATACAGTTGGGAGGGACGCTGTGAGGATAATTCGAGCTGGAGATAGGTTGGAATTGACAAAGGTGGTAATGGAATTGATGCCGGCATTGGGGACGCAAGAGGTCGCCCGGAAGACGAATGTCTTCTCCCGGTGGTTCCATCAATTTTTCCCCCAGTTTCGGGAATCTTAAGAGTTGGCCGTGAGCCGATTCTATCGTGCCGTTGAGGAGACAGAGGGCTCTTGAGGGCACTGGGAGTGGATAGAGCCCTTTGTGGGGGATTGGGTCTGAGTGAAGGACTGCCTGTAGATTGCAGTAGTTGGTTGCTGGTCTCGATGGTGAGGTTACGACTTCGTCTAATCTCGGACATTTCAGATTGCCTAGATGTGCCACTTGCTGCCTTCGGAGTGGAAATAAAGACATCATCATTAGGAGACTCAAGAGCTTTGTCGGCTGCGGGTAGGGCTGTGTAAGGGTTCATCTCATCGGTCGAGACAAGTGCCATTATTTGTGAATCGTCAGGACGAACGGGAAGAGAGTCCAGCGTGGTCGTTAGGTTGTGCATTTCATCTGGCAGCGGTTTGTATCCCCTTAGTCCATTTTGTTCGACCTCGATTTTATTTGGGCCTTCCGCAGCATGTCCCGGCACCGATTGGTCTGCTTTTGTAGGGGGAGCAAGCGAACAATCCTGGTCTGTTGCCGAACCATTTGGTATCGTTTTTATGGATGTAGCCACTCCCACGACATGGTCGTGATCCCCGTCCAAGATCCCTTCTGTAGTATTCTCAACTCCATTCTGCGTCACGAGACCGTTACTCCGACCCTCATCCGATTGTAGTAGTGTATTGTCCACCTCGGATGAATGGTTGCCCTGCGTCGGCGGCATCCCATTCTGGACATTCGTTCGATCTGTTGGGGAATGAACCGGCGATAGGGTGTCATGAACGTTAGGAGGTGTAAGTGGTTCTCGCCCGGCGAAATGATAGTGGTCACTATTCACCACGGCTGTAATCGTTGGCCCTTCCATGATGAACAGGGGAGGGAGACGTGACGGATACAAAGCCGGCCATGCTGCTGTGCCCTTGAAAAGAAAGGTGACGAATAGTCTAGGCTGGTCGTAAGCCCGGTGAGTTCAATGTCTTAAGTTGCCATCACGACGTCTCGATGGTAGTCGGTGTGAGTCGAGAAACACCCAATTCAGTGCTCCTACGGAAAGGAAGACGTCGCCAAATAATACTTGCACTTTTAAGTCCGTGGTATTTCCGAGACAACAACCACACGTGGCTTGTGGTTTGTGGTTTGTGGTTTGTGGTGTGTGGTTTGTGGCTGGCGGCTTGCGGCTGGCGGATCGTGGCGGCGTGGCTGCGTGGCTCCTGCACAGCGGCACAACCGTCCAGGTGACGCTGTTGATGATCATCTTTAAAACCCGCTGTTTCTTGCAACATCTGTAACAACTTGCCAACTTTTGCAATCTGCTGCAATCATCACTATTCCCGAAGAAGAGTGACAGTGCTCAATCCTACATTACACCTTCAGAGGCTGGTGGAGCATTCAGCGGGCTTGGGGATCGCAGCTGCTGGTGTTTCAACCACAACTTCTTTCAGTCAGGGCAGTACGACGTCAGCTCTGGCCATCTTTGCCCTTACTCTCCGAGTCCATGTGCAAGATGATTCTTGCTGCACAGTGTTGATTTCCTATAACTTCGTTCGACGACTATGTGCAAAACGCCATACCTGTCTGACGAAGGCTTTGGCAATAGTTCAATCTGATGGATCAAGAACAGTTCAGCGGATGGAGTCCACCACGAGACGACCTGGATGGGCTGATCACAGGGTATGATGTATCTACTACTATACCCGAGGTTGACAGGGCCGCCTGGAGTGAACAGGGCACTGCAGCGTCCCCTTCTCATCCGTCACGCTATCTCGAGCCTTCCTCGCCGGGACCAGTCAGATCACCGCTCCAACAGCCTCCCAATACAAATTTCAGCTCTAGACCACTCCCTCAGCGAAGGATAGCTTCTTCAAGCCAAATACCTAGCCTAGCCTATGGAGATCCGGCCCCGCAAGTCTCCTTCGAGCCTCCTCTTCGATCGATCTTTGTATCGGGACCGCCTACTGCATCAGTCTCTGCGAACACCGCGCTAGCGTCCTTGAGCGCTGCAGTGTCCTCGAGTAATTCAGGCTCACTAGCTGCTCTGACAAGCGCTGGTGGAAGTCGGCGTACTAATATAAAGGCAGGAGACACCACGCCTTCCGCCTCGCCCGCTGGCTCCAGCAATCGACATCCTCTGCTCAATCCCGAGAAAGATGTAGATGACCCCACAACAAGTGCAGTCACCAGCAGTTTCGACTCTGATTCTGTGAACACCTCCACCACCCTTGCACGCTTATTCATAACAAGCGATGGAACGAGTCCTGGTCCCACGTCCAGAGTCCACTCCCACCTCCGAACCGTATCCAGTACCAGCAGAGGTCTCGGTGACACGGCGACACTCACAGGGCATCTCTTCCGTCATGGTTTCGAGGAAGGTCGTCATTCAGACATCACTGTGCATGCTTTTGGTCAGAGTTATAGACTTCACAAACTGCTTCTCGATCGTGTGCCTTACTTTTCGTCGGCATTCTCTGGTTCTTGGGCGGAGAGTACGGCGCGAGAGATGACAATTCCTTGCGAAGATCTCGACCCAAGTATCAGTAGAAACGCTTTTGAGCTTGCACTCAAGAGAATCTATGGTACACAGTTTCCTGTGCAGGAAGAGAAAGAAGCAATTGGGCTCTTCGCTACTGCATGCTGGCTTGATATGGCTGACCTGGTCGAGTCCTGTGTCGACTCGATCCTTCGACAGATGCAGCCAGCTACCCTTCACAATTTGATCAAACTAGTGACCAATAATTACTATGGGAAAGCTGGTGATCGTATCCTGGCTTCCGCGAAGGCAATGCTTTGCAAAGAGGGTTGGGAGATGCCTTACGAGTACTGGGACGAAATCCCCGCTGAAATCATCCGCGAGATCGTTGGCGGGGACCCGTTCTTCGTACCAGGCGAGTGGGAAAGGTGGTACCTCGCCCTAAAGCTATTGAATCGCCGCCTGAAGGCGAAGGCCATCGAAGGAGGGCTGGTGTCTCCGAGTGGTCGATATCTTTATCCCAAACCAACAAGCCTGCGGTTTTTTGCCGTGAGATTTGATGTGCCTTACAGAATAACTGGACACAACCGGTACGTTTCCGAGAAGGACGAGGCCTGGGTCGCCCTGTACACATCGCCCGAAATCGCACCTCTGCTTGTGCTCCTAGACGAAGGAATCCATTATGTTCATCTTCGCTTCGAACAATTACAGCAGATCCGGACGCAGAAAGACATCCTTGGAGTGCCGGTACTGCCGGAGAAGGTCATAAGTGATGCCTTGTGGATGTCAATGGAACTTCGACAGAAGGTCCTCAATGCCCGGGAGACTGACGAGACGCTCGGACTAAGCGAAGTAGCCGAAGACTTTGACGAAGCGGAAGATCATGCTGAACAAGCATCGGACCAGAAAGGAAAGTCCCGAGACGATGGGCCAGCCAGCACAACCGAAGTTCCCGCAGAGATGGAGTCTGGCTCCTGGGATGGTAACGGCAAACCTCGAAAATTCTGGATTCCGACTAACGACGTCTCCTGCGTGATGGGAGGCACTCGCGAAGCCTGTGTAGCTGCTAACTCTACGAGCGTTGCAGAGTGGAGCACGCATGCAGCCAGATTATCAGCTAGCCTCGAGCCCACTGATGTCGCATGGGCCCTCGACTTCACAAGTGGCAATGTAATCGACAGCGGCAGACCTCCATCCAGAGGCTATTCTCCAACATCAACGCCACGTTTCAGCTACTATCCTCCATTTCGATTTTCAGCCGAGTTCCCGAGTCCCCGGACACTGAAAGAGAAGAAACGGGTCTATTCACACACTGTTTGGTATGCGGGAAGCCTGTGGAACCTCTATATCCAACGCGTCAATAACTCGAAGGTCCAGCAGTTGGGCATATACTTGCACAGAGCTAAGGATAAAGATCCGTGCGAAGATCCACTTGCCCTGTGGATATCTTCGACGGTGGACGATCGCATCGGACAGCTGGAGCGGGAGATGCTGCTTCGGAAGACGGAACAGCGAAATCGCAGTTGGCACGTCAATGAGCCAGTTCGAGGGTCAACGGCAGAGCTTGAGGATGCATCAGCCGAGTCGACACAAGAATATGATAGTTCGAATCCACCGATCGTGGAAGGCGAAAGGGTGACATTTCGACGGCGAACGGCAAAGCCGGTCCAAAAGATTTCACAAAACCCTGAAAGTGGGGGCAAGCTGTCCAATGACTCTTCTCCCGCCGACGGCCTGATGTTAGATTCGGATGAGGAGGATGCAGAGTTGTTGCGGACGAACAGGAAATACAATGTTTCTGCTATGCCACCTTACATGGATGGACGTCCGACAATACGAACATACTTTAAAATCTATTCACCGAGCAAGGGCGGGCGGCTTTTGAGCATTTATGAGAGCGCGCCAGACAAGTTCGATGTCAGTAAGAGTTGGGGTTGGAAGAGCAGCCAGATGCAACTCGACGACGGGATTGGCGGATGTGACACGACGAAGTCTAGTAAAGACGGGAAATTGAGGTATATGGTCGTCATTGGCAACATATAAGGCACCTGTTGGCGTTTGCATCTCAAGCATTCAAGTTATATCAAAATCATGATTATGGATTTCGACAAGCAAAGAAGCGTGTTACAAGCTGCGACAGGGAGGGAACGTTAGCACCCACTCAAGTATTCAATACACAAACAATACTACATCGTGAGACGCGGTTCACCTCTCTGTGTGCTGTTCCATTGTTCTCTTCGTTGCAGTGCGTGAGTCCACAGGGATGAATATGACCAAGTGCAAGATGGTCATGAACTGTGCACAGGCCTGGCCGGGCAGCAGTTCATGCCACGGGGCACGGGAGAGAATTTCTCGCCACGGGTCTAGTTGAGGGAGGGCTATCGTCTATGATTGCGCACTTTCCGCTGCGAGTCAACCACATGGAAGATGTATGTCTGTGGAAGCTTCACTCAAGCCAGGCACCTGTGGGAGAGCAGATGCGCCGGAAGCAATCAAGACTGATATGATAGTCTCTACCAAACATCTCCACCTAATCTAATGTCAGTGCTAGAAGAATGACAAAGAGCTAGCCGGTCCAATCCTCCACCATCTCGACTCTACATCGCTGAGACGCCCGTAATGCTGATTTCTCAAGAGTGGAACTTTCCATGACCTGTTGTCGCCCGCGAACTTGTCAGAAGTCGCGCACACTAAACGCCCAAATCAGAGTTCAAGTCCGATCACAAGGCTGACAAAGATATCTGGAGTCTGCCCATGGCCAACAGCCTCAGCAGAATACACAGCGGCAAGGACATTCTGTGAAAAGGACATTGCATCACTGTACAGGTCGAAAAAAAGCACGTCCCACTCGGCTTGGGACATGCTGTGGCCGAGGTTCTTCCCTCGCTTGTCTTTCCAGTTGAAGAGGCCGATATCCACCACCGTTTTGACTACCAGGCCGGTGTCTCCAATGGGGGCGTCAGCCACCATCAAACTGGAGTCTGGAAGATCTTGGAATCGAGAGTAGACCTGTGCGGAGATGCTGCCGATCGCATTGGTCAGAGCATTGTCCAACTGCAACGTGGCGAGAGCGCCAGAGTGAACAGCGCTGTAGAATATCATGCCGATCTGTCCTCCAGCTTGGATGTTGTATGTTTGCCCGATGGTTGTGAGCACCAACCCTGTACCTAGGGTATCAACCGTTGGTGACTCCTGTCCCACGGGCATGGTGTCGGCTAGCTCAAGACAGGGCACATCAGATGAAGTAGATTGGCATTGAAGTACCCTGTTGAAGGTCGGCATAAAGTCTTTGATGGCATCGTCGATGTTGACTGCGACCTGTGAGGAGACGGCCATGGAGTTTCCTGTGGCGAGCACGCCATTTTCCGCCCCGGCCACGCTCAGTGTTTCGCACCCAATATTATCAAACTCTTGACCAGAATCAGAGCCCAGGCCTTTAGCAAGGTTTCCACAGATACTCGAGACAGATCCATCCGGGATCCGATCAAAGGCCAGGTGGAAGTCACCAAATTGTGACCCCGGAGGGTTGGAATGGGAGATGCGCCAGCAGCCGAAACTTCGAGCTCTGCAATCATTCTGCGCGCGGACGAAGAAACTCCCAAGAGATCCCAAGAGGAAAATGGAGTTGAAGACCTGAGAGCCGCGGGATAACATGACTGTTTGTATCGCAGCAGATGAAAAGGTTGATTCCGTGGGAGAGGACTTGTTCGGTGGTGTCAGAAGGCGAGTTGTGCCCCGTGCGTACTGAAAGGTGAGCAGGAATAACTGTCGAGTGACAAGTGGCAGAATCCAATGCTGCACCACAACGTCTTTATACCCATTTCTGCCATCTAGTGCTTATAGAGTCCGACAAAGACAATGCTACATTAGGTCGACTTTGCGGTGAGTTTTCAAGCCTCACTGGAGCCTGGAATACTGTTGAATCATACCATCGACGTCCACAAAATGGAGTCTGGGAGGGCCAAAACTATCCCATCAGCAGTCGGACAGACCCTTTTTGAGTGCTTTTTCGTGCCAGTTTGAAGCATTCAGCTCATGGGGGCGCTTCATGGACCCTAGCCGGGTGAGAGAGCCAATCCCGATACGAGATAACATGCTCGGTGGTATAATAACCAGGCCAGGCGGATACCCCACTGCTGAATATGGAAGTTTTTACACCGAACCTCTACCACTGGTAGGTAGTCGGAGGGTGAGGAGCCAGCTAAGGAAGGCTTACCGAGATCATGCGACCTACCGAGCACTGCGAGCATAATCGGACTTGGTATTCGAGACCATCGATATCGAGGGAGAGTGGACTGGAAGGAGAGTGGTAGGTAGACGAGGGAGAGGGAGGGAGAGGGTGATAGTGAGGTTGAAGTACGAGGTATGACGTGTGGGAATTCCATGACTGAGGATCTCCTTTTGGGCAGGTGCGGAGCGGGCCTTCCACACGTGAGCTGTTATCCGCCAAGAGTTTTGACCCGAGGGGCTGGACGTGGTTCGCGGCTCGACAGGTGTCCCGGCGGAAGTGGATAAGGTCGGTGCGATGAGGGTGTGGAGGGATGGTACACAATATTATGTACCTCGTACTCACCGTACTCACTACAGCGCCATGTGCAAGTACGACATAAAGCGAGGGAGATACTCGGTCTTGACTTAGGGTCGAAGTCGAGTGCCAAGGACCCGGTCAAGCAAATAAAGAGGGGGTTCCGGTGGACTTGGCTCTGCGACCACAGTCAGCGTACATGTTCATTATTCAGCACCCTGGTGTCTCCGTACTGCGCAGCCCACGAAAAAGAGCCTGTTTTCGGAAAAGCTCACACTGATCGGCCACGTCAAGGCTACACAGGAGCATCCTTTAGAGGTCCCCAAGGGTGGGTGAAGTGCTTGATATCCGCCATACTCGTCCTTGGCGGTCTTCTCGTTAATTTCTTCTAGAGCCTGGCGACCCCGTCCGAGAAAAACACGAGAATAGTTGTAAAAGCCTCTAGGTCAACAAGTACGACGTTCTTTTGATGGTGCCATCTGTCCATGTCATTGTGACGCCGGTGCCACTTTACTCAGGCTGTGGACAATGCTGATTGGTAGATTTGGCACTTGATTTCAAAGCTCACTTGAGCCTGTGGAAGAAACTCTCTAGACTTCAGATAGAGTCAAAGAGGCGTAGAGAGAACTCTGAAGTCCCCAGCATCGACATATAAAACCTTGTCGACGCACACGGTTCATCAGTTCTCCTTCTTGCATTCCATCATACCTTCAAGTCTCACACATTCACAACGCCTGTTCAAGACCTGCCATCCCTATCTCATCAACATCCCAACACACTCACCAAGCCAGCATAGAATTTGTCCCCTGTCTCATCATCCCTCGCAATGGATTCTCACGATGCAAAGCCTCTTATTATTAATAAGGGAACCCCGGGAATTTCCTACTTCACACCCGCTCAATCGCCTCCTTCAGGAACAGCCAAGGATCCCCAGTCCGATGGCAGTGCAATCCCAAAGCTCTTCCAACCCCTGACCATTCGTGGAGTTACTTTCCAGAACCGCATTTTCCTCTCGCCAATGTGCCAGTATTCCGCTCAGAATGGCTACCTGACTGACTGGCACTTGACTCACCTTGGTGGCATGATCCAGCGAGGACCTGGCCTCACATTCATCGAAGCAACCTCGGTCACTCCTGAAGGTCGAATCACGCCAGAAGACAGTGGGCTTTGGGAAGATGGTCAAATGGGCCCTTTGAAGAGAATCGTCGAGTTTGCGCATAGTCAGAGTCAAAAGATCGGGATCCAGCTGGGCCACGCAGGCCGCAAGGCCAGCACCGTTGCTCCTTGGCTGAGTCGAGGTGACACTGCCCAGAAGGAAGCTGGCGGCTGGCCTACAGAGACGCTTGCCCCGAGCGCCATTGCCTTCCAGGACACCTACCCCAATCCCAATGCCCTTACGCTGGAGGGAATCGAAAGAATCAAGAATGCGTTCGTGGACGCTGTCAAGAGATCCCTCCAAGTTGGATTTGATGTCATTGAGATCCACGGTGCCCATGGCTATCTCATTCACTCGTTCCTCAGCCCAGTCAGCAACAAGCGAACCGATCAGTATGGCGGATCCTTCGAGAACCGGACGCGTCTGGCTCGAGAACTCGTTGAGGCGACAAGGGCCGTCATTCCCAAGGACATGCCTCTCTTCTTCCGAATCAGCGCCGACGACTGGCTCAAGGGTCAAGATGAATTCCCAGAGAGCTGGACAGTTGAGGACACAGCCAAGCTGGCTCCAATTTTGGCCGAGTTGGGCGTGGATTTTCTTGATACCAGCTCAGGCGGCATCCACCCTGCTCAAAAAATTGTCGGTGGACCGGGATACCAAGCTCCGTTTGCACTTGCAGTGAAGAAAGCAGTGGGAGATTCCCTGCTTGTTGGAACCGTTGGATCCATCACAACGGGCACTTTGGCACAGGAACTTCTAGACCAAGGCCTGGACGCCGCCTTTGTTGGACGGTATTTCCAGAAGAACCCCGGCCTGGTTTGGACTTTCGCAGAGGACCTTGGTGTTGAGATCCACGTTGCAAACCAGATCTCATGGGGCTTCCACGGCAGGGCGGGTGGTAAAGGCAAGCACGAGACCAAAGCAACCCGCTAAAGCAGAATGGCGGTCCCTTGAAGCGAAAGTACCTAGGTGGTGTCTACAGTTGTTCTCAGGGGCGTAGAAGAGAGAAATCTGTCTGTGAGACGGATATTTTTCGTTTAAATATAGAATCCACGTTCATTCCTACCATTTACGAACTCCAGCAGGAACTGCGGAGATTGTTTGTCAACCAGAGCGAGAAAATGATGCAACCCCAACGCTCGAACTACTTGCACCTAAATGAACGGGCACACGGGTTCCTGCATGAGAACGATCGCCCAGGGGAATCGGAGGGCGAATCAGCTGAGTTCACAGGTCAGGGGAGTGTGTTTGGGGTTGCTGGACAGGGGCGTAGGATTGGCAGGAGACTAGCCACATCGGGGGCCCCTAGACGCCTAGCGCAGTTTGATGTTTTGGAGGCCAAGCAGGGCGGGTAAGCAAGGCCCCAGGCTCCGCATTGGCACCCGAGGCTTGCAAGTTGCAACAGCTCCTGTTCCATTAAGCATTTCGGTAGTAGGTCTGCCACACCCTCTCCCCATCTACAACAACTCTTCGTCCTATTCACCGACCCGCCCTTCACTTCAGATTTCCTGATTCAAGCCATTTCTTAGCATTGTCGTATCAAGTCTCTCGTTCAGAATTCACGTCCTCATTTCTCGGCTCTTTTTGTGTCATTATTCTCCTGTTCCGCGCTCGACCCACGTTCGTTCTTTGTGTTATTCCGAGCCTTCCCCCTTGTCTCGTCCTTGCTGTACGCTTTGTCCACCTTGACGGACGACAAGCACCATCAGCAGGCGGTCAATTCTCCCTGACGCCTCTCATAACTTTCGCTCAATCGTGACACGGCTCCCTCCTCGACGGCGGAAGTCAGTCCTGGGATATTGAGTCGAGGTGGTTTCCGTCACTGCTTCGATGAATGGGCGGACTCGACGGCGATGCAATAAACACACTACAAAACAAAGGGTTCAATCTCTGAGGGCAATTGAGCTGGGCTCTTGTTACACCTGCCCTTCGGCTGCACCACGTCTGAGACAGCAACGTACAACAGCCTCAGAAACAGGCATACGATTACTCGTGTTCGGCTGCCCCCTTTCACGAACTATTGATAAGCTGCTGCCAGGTCGCAGCGCTTTGGTCGATCTTTACACAATACACATACCACGTTCGCCATGGGCTGTTGCGGAGGCGAACGAGAAAAGTTCGGGAATCTGAGCGCTGAGCAGAAATGGGACTACATTGTACGCATACCCGACACGGAAGTAGGCTGCATGGACTAACACATCACAGAACCTTGATGATTTCAAATCTTCCTCATGCTGGACTCCTTTTGCCTACGGCTACCTTATTTTGATGCTTATTGTCTCGATATCCGTCTACGCTGTCGATACATTTACCGCTATCAACCTCCTCGCCTTTGACAGATGGGCTGGTCAGATTAAACCCGAGATTCCACTCAACATCTCTCGATGGATATTTGCTGGATGTATCATTCTATCGTTTGTTCTGCTCATCTACCGATGGATACGTGCAGTCAGAGTCATGCGACAAGGCGGAATCGCAAAAAGCTACTTGGACCCTTTGGCCGTCCGAATTCAGTCGATGCGATGGGGAAAAGCAAGAGGTTGGAAGCGTTTCTTGGTCTTTGCCGAGTTGACAAAGAGTCGAAAAGGAGCCGACTACGTTGCCCTGTTTGCATATTTCTCTTTCGAAGCTTGGCTCCGTATCGTCTTTGCAGAAGGACCACGGCAAGTGGTCAACGCCATCACGCTGTATTCAGTGTTGAGGCTCAAGTTGGTCCCAGAGGGCGAGCATGCTCCGTCCGATGGTCACTCTCCGGTTGTCCAATTCTTTGTCAATGTTGGAATTCTGGCCGATTCCAATCACTTGCAAGCCGTTATTCTCTTCGGCATGCTGTGGACCTTGGTCATCTGGGTCATTTCCGTCATTGGTCTGATCATTTCAGTCATTCTCTATCTCGTTTTTCTCTGGCACCACATTCCAACAGAGGATGGGAGTCTAACAGGCTACTGCCGTAACAAGATTAATCGACGGATGGAGAGGGTTGTCAAGATCAAGGTTGACAAAGCACTCAAGAAAGAGAATGCACTGCGGGCTCGAGCAGAAGCCAGGGCGGCGCGCGAAGGAACGGATATAAAGAAACAACCGACCTTGCCAAATATCCTAGGCGCCGATTCGGACTCACTTCCTCCACTGTCACGGCAAACCACAATGACAACCCTCCCAGAATACACCTCGCGCCCGGCCACAAGGAGGGGCAGTGATGATGCCGTTCCAACCCTACCCGATATTGCTCCTCGTCCTCCGATGCCTACTCGTACCGTTACTCATGGTTCGGCAGCGTCGTGGTCAAGCTACACCTCGAACGCTCCATTGATGAGCTCGGCGGCGGACATGGGGTTTGCGGCTGATCGAGTTCAGACTCCAGCGTCCGATACGAACAGTCCATGGTACGGTAGACCAGCACCAAACCGTAGCATATCGAACCTTTCGCAGCCTCCACAACGGTCTATCAGTCCTGCACTTCCACGACCGGGTACAGCACAGAGTGATAGGAATGGTCCTGGCGCGTACCAAATGGATTCTCTCCCACGGCCAGGAACCAGCATGTCTAACAATGGACGTCCCAGATATCCCTTGGAAAATAGCAGCGCTCTTCCCTACCCAGATGATAGAAGCTCAACGCCATCCAGCAAGCCACCAGCGTGGTCGGGACCAACCTTCGACAACCAAATTGACACCTCGGGTCGCCGTACGCCTGGAGGTGCCATTGGACCATCATTCCCTGTTATTCCAGAGGAGAGGGGGCGACAATCACCGTTGCCAGGACCTCAATTCCGATCACACACTCCCAATCAAGGACCTCCAGAAACATTTTTCGCACCAAACGGTGGAGGTCCGATCAGAACTGTGACGCCAACCGGAGGCCCAACATTGCCTCGATTACAGCCTTCAAGCTCTGCCGGTTATATTCCCTACTCGGCGGAGCGATCGATGACCCCAATGTCTTCAATTCCTCCCAGCGCCACCATTCGTAGTGTCACCGAGCCAACTAGGACATACACCCCTTTTACATCACAGCCGAGCTTTCCCAGTGGTGCACGAGAGAGGCCAACTCCACAGAGACAGGGAAGTCAGGGAGTAGATGACATATTGGACCATTATTGAGGGGTTGGCCCTTCTGAGAGTGGAGGCGGCTTCTTTGCTCGCGGTGACGAAACAGTAACGATGATTAATAGCTAGATCCTGTAACACAAAATGGCACATTTTTGCTTGATTAGTTTCTTCTAGGCCTCGCAATGGGGCAGGGGAAGTGGTCTGATGATAGACTCCTCAAGTGACATTGTCAACTTGCACAGGTAATGTGTCTTTCGAAGTCTCCGATTGGTCAATGCTCGATGCTCATTTTGGTCTACTTCAAATATTAATCCAGACTGTCCTATTGTACCGTACAGAGTGCCAGACACTTCCAAAGCATCGCCATGCTGCCTGGGTCTGCTTTCTCAAAGACTCTTCGTGAAGTCGCACCGGGCTTGTCGAAGAGGTTCTTCGAATGCAGCGGTCGCAGTCATGCTGCCCAGCTTAGCAAGCTTCAACCTAAATCCACGTGTACCTCGACGGTACAACCATCGTCAGCGAGGATCAGCCAGACCCGGAACTTGAGCACGCGCTGCGGTGCATCAATACGAAACTACAGTCTCCCACGGGCCAGCTCTCCTCCCTGCAACCTCAAGAATGCGTCTTTTGCAGGTGCAATCGTTCGAGGATTCTCTGAATCTGCGCACACGAGATCCACCGGCACTGCCGACAACGCCACAGACCCAAATGAAAGAAGAAAGGATGAGGACAAGACCGGAAATGAGAGCAAGAGCAGGAATTTTTTCCCAGATACTTCCTCGAACACTGTGGCTTATTGGCTTCTCGGCAGCGCTGCCAGCGTGTTTGGGATCGTGGTGTTTGGAGGATTGACAAGACTCACAGAGTCTGGGTATGTAATACCAACTCCTACAACTCTTGAGGCTTTTGATTAATGGAGTCGTTCCTGTGCGAGGAACCTGCTGATTCGAGTTTCCAAACCAGACTTAGTATCACGGAATGGAAACCCGTCACTGGCTCCCTTCCTCCCATGTCTGAAGCAGACTGGGAGTCGGAATTTGCCAAATATCGTTCGAGTCCGGAGTTTCACATGCTGAATTCACGAATGACGCTGGAAGAATTCAAATCAATCTACTGGATGGAATGGATCCATCGACTCTGGGGTCGATTCATCGGGCTCTCCTTCGTGTTGCCGGCAGCATATTTCGTCGCGCGGAAGAAAGTGTCCCGTTCTATGGCAATGAGATTACTCGGCATAGCAGGTTTAATTGGGTTTCAGGGCTTCCTCGGCTGGTGGATGGTGAAGTCGGGATTGAAAGACGACTTATTCGCACCGGGCTCGCATCCGCGTGTCTCCCAATACAGATTGACCGCACATTTGGGCGCGGCGTTTGTCTGCTACCTGGCAATGCTTTGGAATGGTCTTGACATCCTCCGAACGAACAAAATCCTACGCATGTCCTCCGACGGTGCGAGTGCGACGCTCAAAAGCTTGGGTAACCCGGCGTTGAAACCCTTCAAGCGCTACGTGTCCCTCCTCGCAGGTTTGATCTTCATTACAGCAATGTCCGGAGGCCTGGTCGCAGGTCTTGACGCAGGCTTGATCTACAACGAGTTTCCATACATGGGGCTGGGCCTGACCCCCCCGAAGAGCGAGCTGTGGGACAAGTTCTACTGTCGGGCACCCGACCACAGTGATCTTTGGTGGCGCAACCTGCTCGAAAACCCTAGCTTGGTTCAGCTTGACCACCGGATTCTTGCGACGACCACCTTCACCGCAGTCATGGCGCTATGGGCGTTCTCTCGCTCAGGAGCAATGCAGAAAATCCTACCGAGAGCAGCACAAAAGGGTGTGCATGGCGTTGTTGGCTTTGCGTGCCTGCAGGTCATCCTGGGCATTTCCACGTTATTATACCTAGTTCCAACTGGGCTAGCAAGTGCACATCAGGCAGGGAGTCTGGCATTGTTGACCTGGACAATTGTGTTGGGAAGTCGAGTTTGGTTCCCCACCCAAGCTGCGCGCATTTTGGCTCAGCGAACCCAGGTAAATCTTGCTGGTACCGGTGCTGAAGCGGCGCATAGGACGGCTATGTCGTCGGCAGCAAAGGCAAAGTCTGTGATGCCTGGCACCCCTGCCGCTCTCGCTGCAATTGGTTGCATGCCCATTGTCACAGCCATAGGTCTTGGACTTTCTTCAAAGTCAGAGGCTGATGTTGCGAGGCAGCTTTCCGCTCATATGACTGGGCATCGGGCAGTCTCAGGGGTTGAACAAATGCAGTCTTCGTCGGTGCCGAAGGCCTCATAGCGAAGATCACTGGTGCGGACCTCACAATCTTCACTCTTGACTACCTTTGTTGTATTACTACATTAGATGGTGAATGATCATTCCGCATGTTTCAACCACTTGTTCCGATCTCGCCACAAAATTTCACGTTTGACCATGTCAGATGAGCTTCAAGAGGTCATCTGTTGGTCCTCTGTTGCCAGGTAGGTCCAACGCTGCGAGCTTTACAAGCTGCCAGCTCCACTAATCCGTGACCACCAAGCTGCCAACTTTGCGAACTAACTGTCTATGCAATGTACCAACAACACCCAGCCACGCGGTGCATTCGAGACCTGCCGTTGGCAGACGGTCTTGGGTACCGCATACTATCTGCAGAGGTGGACTCGCACCAACCACATGGGAGCCACGGTATCGTCTTCTTATCAACTTGCCTGTATCAAGTCCTATGGCCATCAGAGTTGGGTTGTCAAATACCGCGGTATTGATGGCTACCGTATAGGCTTGAACATCTGTCACTAGCCACTCCGGGCACGACTTTCGCTGGTTGTGAGGGATAACAGCAACAACCATCTCTTGCGAGGAGAAAATCAAACCGTCCACACAGCTCTTCGACTGCCAAAACGACCCCCGAACTATCTTTGACATGTCTCGGATACGCAAGCATTATCTTTCCGACTCTCGATCGTGATGGGCTCCTCTAAGGTCATCAACCGTCAGCGACGCGGCCGGGTTGACCTTTGATGATTCCTTCGATCTGTGGTCCCCGAAGGCATGTACGAGGTATTATTGTGGATGTGCGCGGTGTTGGCGCGGCATCCCTCTTCCCTTGCAGCAACTCGAAGAGAAAAAAAAACGGAGTTCCGCCGGGTTTGTTTGATTGATGACTAGTACCAAGTCCGTAGCTGGGTTAGGGGGTTGGTTGGGCCCTGAGCAGTACCTACACATGGCCTTTGACGCGGGGGTGGGGTGGGAAGGTGGAGGAAGAGTGGCAAGCAAACAATCCTCGGCACGCAAACCGTAAGGTATAGGGCATAAGGCATAGTTCGTGTACATACATGTATATAGCAAACAGTAAATGAAACAAGATCAGTCCGGAACTATGTACCGAGTAGGTCAAGCAGATCATTTTTACAGTACCGAGTACAGCACGGGCCAGAACAGAAGGGGCCCTCTTGGATAAGGCCACCAAATACTCACTCCCTCCCCTACTCTCGTCGTTGGTAGGAATACGGAGTAAATATGTAAGTACGAGATATTCCGAGGCGTGCATACATACATGGCGACCTACCTAGCTACCTGCCTACCTAGGTACTATCCTCCTTAGGTAGGTAGGTACAGAGACAGATAACATACCCAGCAGGACGCTGGTGCTCCTCCGGAATTTCCGGGAAATGGAGAACTGACTGACTGGGCTGACCGTGCCGGTCCACTATTACTACTACGAGGTACATAGGGACTCGGTACTTGGTCCGAGTAGGTACCTCCTCGCGGTTCGTGCGAGTATATTCAAGCACGAGGTACGAGGTGCAAGATTGTTGATTACAGGGGCACGAGCGGGTGATATATATGTGTGGAGAAGAAGATGTAAATTCCTGTTTGCAGAGCTGTTTCGTGGCCCTGCGGTTTCGTTTTGCACCAAGGTATCGAGTATGTACCTACAGATTACTCGTCGTCACGATTCTACATACGTATTATTGGCCTTGCTTGGTGGTGACTAGGTAGGCAAAGTTGGCCAACCAGTATTTAGGGCCGAGGGGAGGTACGAGGCAGTGCCCAGGTGCCAGAGTCAGAAGTAGTAGTACGAGTACTGGTGCTCGGTGCCCAGGCACGCCGCGCCACAAGGCCAAAAGACTTTCGTCTAAGGCGCGGGCCGGCCGCAGAAAAAGCCAATGGAACACGCGATCGAGGGTGAGTTCATCTGGCACAAGATACAAACAACAAACTGACGCGGAGCGCGACGAGACAAGAATTCTCTGGGGGTCAACCAAAATCAGCTCGTCATTGAAATTTGTACAGGACTGAGTAGGGATGGTGCTCCGAACCTATCTCACGACGAGTATGTATTTCCCACAGGCTGGATTGGACCCCCCTCTTGAAATGCGAACCCTTGCAGTCGAGTAGAACCTTGCAGCGGATGCGCCTGGTAAAACAGCTCCGGACAATGCATCCCTGACATAATGATCATACGAGTAAGGTTTGCCCAGTACCAACCTACCTACCTATGTATGTTTTTGTGGCTTACGCCTAGCAAGCAGGGCCTGGCTATTCTGCGACAATCCAGGTCTGGTCTGTTTCAGGATAGCAAGCATCGAGGTAAACGTAATCCCCACAAGGGAGGGTTTATCAATCCGCCCTGGTGGGCTGGCTGTATCCTGGCATTCCTGGCACCCAATCCTCGTAGGGCTCACTCGGAGGGGAAACGAAAAGAGCGAGAGGCATGGCTAACCGGACTCACGCGTTGCCTCGTTTGTGTCAATAATGGCCAATCTTTTTCGTCGATCAGACACTGTTCACTCGCTGGGTTTCTGGAGGGCGGGAATATTTCGTAGCCTGCGGACCACGTGGAGGTGGCAGTGCACGGTTGGGCTTCTAGAGGTCTGAACAGTGGAAGATCCCGTGTGGTTTGGGCGGGCGTTGCGCGTAAGAATGGCCCGGGAAATTGCTATTCAGTATCGCAGTGGTGGTATCGATATGGTGCAGGCCCTCTATCGATTGCTAGCAGGGCTTAGAGTGGGGGATGGAGATTGACCAAGGATGAACGCATAGGGCGAGACGGGCACGATGGGGTTCTCGTAGGTGGCATTCTGTGATGCATGCTTTTGTGACAGTGACCAAGGTTTGCTGGCTGAAGCAGCGTGGCTTGAACGCGGACAAAACGAAGACCGAACTGGTTTGACCCGAAATCTGACCGCTGTTGACATTCATGTTAGCTTCTCGACCATTCAAGCCAGGTCCGAATAGAGGCGACAGGAGAACAAAGGATGTTGGTGTTGGTAGGGACTAGGTACGCGTGTGGACGTTGCTGCTGAGAGCATCTGTTCAAGGTCCCTGTGGGCAAACCGTTGGTGATGAAGCAGCCAAAGAGCGTGGACGAGTAACTAAATATACAACCTCTGCGGCGCGTTCCTGTTGGGTGGGATTTGACTTTGGATGATTTGACGTGGTGGTGAGTGGTGCGCGCTTCTTGCCGCTATCGATGACTTCCTGCGCTGCGCTGCGGTGCGTGTGGGTGGATATCATCGAGCAGGGAACACACAGCAAGATTCCCTACAGACTCAAAGCTGCGTCAACCCCCGTGTGTTTGTCCCTTCTTCAGATCTTTCTTCCTGTGCTCCGTCCTCCGTGCTATGCCCATTCACGCCTTGGCCCCAATCCTGCAAGCCAACGGCCCTCCTTGCCTCCAAAGGGGCTGCTGCTGCTGTGACAATCTTGGTCTCCTGTGACTGGTGTTTGGTGACTGGCTGCTGCGCGCCTGTCGCTTGTCCCTGTTCGGAAAAAGAGAAAGAGAAAGGCGAGAAATATCACACGCCTGCGTCACTCATTGGTGCTTTTGCCTGCTTCTTCGCCCTGATTCACAGGAACTAACAGAACTAGAGGCCGCCTCGAAGCCTTGGATGAAGCCTGGAACCTCGCGCCCTGCACCAAAAAGCCCTGCGACTGAGAACTTTTGAAGCCTGAAGGCCAGAAAGCCTGGCGTCAGAAAGTCGGGCTCGAAAGCTAAGCTGAGCGCTCAACAGCAGTTCAATTCCCCATCTGGCTGGCATCTGCCGCTCCCGCAGGCTTTCAGTTAAACCTTTAGCACCCTTAGTGGCTCGGGGCTGCCCACCTGGCGCCCATCTGGCACCCACCTGGCACTCTGCTGCCCGCTTTTCTTGGTTTCCTCCAACTGCCCAGTGCGCAGTCGTGCGTCCGCAGTCCACAGTCCAGTCCACATTGTAGTGGTGGTGGTGGTGGTGGCACCTGCACCGAATCCGCAACCTGCACTTGCAACTTGCACCTGCCAACCTTCACGTTGACTTGAGAGCCATGGACAACGTCCATAACACGACCTCCTCCAACTTGACCACATTCACCTCTTCCAAGCGACGTCGAAATACTCTGACCAAGAATCATCCCCCTTCCGCGTTCCCCTCCAAGGGCTCGCTACGCAAACAACAGTCGTCTGCCGCACTTCAACGGGCGCCGTCAGCTCCATCTCCATACCCTCGCAGTCACGACGCCTCACTGTCTTCCCGCGATTCTCATCAGAGAACCCAATCCAGCGCGTTTGCTTCTTCCACATCCTCGCTTGAACACAGCAGCGGCGCACCCTCCCCCATCGTTCCTCCCACAAACTTCTTCGCGTCGTCAGTCAACGGCTACAAGCCACCGCAACACCTCCCGCTCACACCCCAGCCTTCAGATGACCGTCACAAGGACTTGATCGGAGCGCCATTTGACGCCTCGGGTCTTTTGTCTTCTTTTCAAGTCGCCGGTATGAACGATAATCAGAATGCTGGTGCTCAATCAGCATATCCCCCGCCATTAACCCACACCCATACAAGCCCCGACCTTCGATCTCACCCGCTACGGAACTCACAGACCTTTGGACCTGGAATGGTGGCTATGATGGAAGTAACACCTCCTAAATCGGAAAATGGCACGCTCAGTCCCAAGCGCTTCTCCGGTGACGGGCACACCAAACCAGCTGGGCCATTTCGCAAGAAGAGTGGCTTTTCTAGTTTCGTCAACAATATGCTTGGATCCCCAAGGACAATCAAAATCTCCGCGCCAGAAAACCCCTTGCACATGATACACGTTGGCTACGACAACCAGACCGGGCAGTTTACGGTAAGTCGGCAGCCAATTGAGCAGATCATACATCTCTTCATTGATTAGAACGGCCCCCATACTGGAGTCTGACAAGCTGATACGTTTCCAACAGGGACTACCTGCAGAATGGCAGAGGGTCTTAGCCGACAGTGGCATCACCAAGACTGAGCAAGACCAGAATCCACAGATGATGGTCAACATTGTCGAGACGTACAAGAACAATCTGGGTGGCAACGACGATGGGGTGTGGCAGAAGTTTGACCACGCCAAACTCTCTGACTCCCCTCAAAGCAGCAACAGCAGCTACCAGAGCCCAGTGACGCCCGTCATCGGCTCAAGCGTTGCTTCGTACTCCCCCATGACTGGTGTGATATCACCCCCAGCCAGTCCTCGATTTCCCCAGAACCACGAGGGCAGCTTCGAAAACCCTCGCGCTCCACCACCCGTACCGAAAGGCCTTCCCGCTAGTGCAATGGCAAGTATGAAACCGAGTCAATCACCAATTATCATGATGCCAAATCGACCTGCTCCCAAACCACCTGTACAGAGCCTGAGAGATATGGCACCCTCCCGACCTGCGCCCCCTCCTCCTATAACCCGAGATCTACCCCTACGGACAGTTCAGGAACCGTTGAAACCACAGCCGCCTCCAGCCTCCCAGCCTAATACACCATCTATTCCCCAAGAAGAAGCGCGGAGCCGCTCCAACTCGAAAGGACCATCTGTAACACCACCACGTGCCCAGCCGGCAATCCAATCTCCTGCCCAGTATCAACAGCAGCAAGAACAGGCGATGCTGATAGCACAGCAAGCTATTCAGAGTAAACAACTAGATCGAAGTCGAAGCCAGCGTCAAGTTGCGCCAGGAGCCCCTGAGGTTCCACCAAAGATCTTGCCTCAACAAGTCAGCCCCAACATTCCACAAGCGCAATTTGCTGCAGTGACAGCTTCGCCGGCTCTCGAAGGTACTCCACAGGTAGCGGCCGTACCTCGACCTCGACAGAAACGGCAACAAAGCAATATCGTGGATGTTACTGCCAGGTTACGAGCAATCTGCACTCCTGGTGACCCGACCGCGAAGTACAGTAACCTCAACAAAATCGGGCAGGGTGCTTCTGGCGGTGTCTATACGGCTTTCGAAAATGGCACCAAGCGATGTGTTGCTATTAAGCAGATGAACCTCGAACAGCAACCGAAGAAAGACCTGATCATCAATGAGATCATTGTGATGAAGGACAGTAAGCATAAGAACATTGTCAACTTTATTGACAGCTATCTGCATGATGGAGACCTGTGGGTTGTCATGGAATACATGCAAGGTGGCAGTCTAACCGATGTGGTGACATTCAATGTCATGAGCGAAGGACAAATTGCTGCAGTGTGTCGGGAGGTTAGTATTGTCCCGGGGAATCGGCGTAAGCATTCCGTTGCTGACTGTTTTAGACGCTCTACGGCTTACAACACCTGCATTCTAAAAACGTGATACACCGAGACATCAAATCTGACAACATCCTCCTTTCGGAAAGAGGGGACATCAAGCTAACAGATTTCGGTTTCTGTGCCCAAATTAATGACACTCACAACAAGCGCACGACCATGGTTGGAACGCCATACTGGATGGCCCCAGAGGTGGTGACGAGAAAAGAGTACGGACGAAAGGTCGACATCTGGAGCTTGGGCATCATGGCGATCGAGATGATTGAGGGAGAACCACCGTATCTGACCGAGTCACCGCTGCGGGCCTTGTACTTGATCGCTAAGTACGGAACACCACGTATCAAGGACGAGCAAGCCCTGTCGCCGGTCTTTCGAGATTTCCTCCATTTCGCCCTGAAGGTTGAACCCGAGAAGCGAGCAAGTGCTCATGATCTGCTACATGTAAGGCGATCTCCCACATCTTCGGTGTATATCTCTAACGTGGAACAACAGCATCCATTCATGCATAATTGTGCCCCGCTTTCCAGCCTGGCTCCGCTCGTTCAATCAGCGAAAGAAAGCAGAGCTGCCGAGAAGGCGAATAGAGGCAACTGATGGTTGTGCTGGTCTAATTCTTGTACAATTACTGTGACCACGTGTGACTGAGACCAGCCCTTATCCGACTTGCCTGTGTTTTGGACACTGCGACCTCACGTTCAGCGCGATATGCTTTCGACATCCTGCGTCGGAGGGTGATATGCTTATTTGCATTCTCCAAACATGCATTGTTAACGGCCGGAGGAAGAATTGGGAAGAGGTGATTATTAGACGCACTGCTACAGACTTTTATCTTTTCGACACGCCTCCCATCGAGGGTTGCTCGCATTACTTGTCAGGACTGGGTATTCTTTCTTACTTTGTGCAGCGTTCTCCGCGGGCTATCAGCTTGCCGTTGCCTTGACGACTATTAAGAAAACATGATGATCAGACGAGCGGACAAAGGAGTTTTGTGGAATATGGGCAATGAGCAAAGGCAATGGGCATGAAAGGACTCGAGCCCGTCTGGTGGCTACGCAATTCCGGGACAATAGTTTGGAGAGGTCTGAAAAGCGCCGTGAAGGGCGAGGGAATTTGACCTCAAGTGTAACAGCAAGGCAGGCAGATGAGCCATGTAGACGAGAGAGCTCCTCGAAATCAAGAGCTACCATTTTGTAAAGACATCCCATCCCCTACTGGCGAGCCAGATGTGATATTGGTGTGGCTTGTGTGGAGGCATTCTCCACCTTTCACCCGCCACTCTGACCTGCTGCGTCACCGAGATTCGAACTGCGCTAAAAGCTGGAGGTGAGTTCGTGCTAGCATTTGTTCATTAGGCTGCGCCGCATCCAACCCCAAAGATAAGTCGTGCTTCCATACCGAGCCTTCTGTTCATGTCATAATTGTCTGCTGTCGCGTAACTCTTGATCTCTTCTTCGTTGAAACCCTTGGTTCGACCAATAAGTTGACTTGCCCGCCATGTTCCGGGCACAACAAAATGCATTCGACGACGCTGTTGGTAAGCTTTGAATCCTGAGACCACCGCGCTTCGCCATCACTGTTGCCTCACATCTGTGTACATGTACTGACACATGCGCCTTTGTTTCTTTTTGTCCTATATAGCCAAGGCAACCGACGAGAACCTGACCTCCGAGAACTGGGAGTACATCCTTGATGTCTGCGACAAAGTCTCGTCCAGCGAGAGCGGGAGTAAAGATGTCGTGGCCGCCATGATCAAGCGGCTGGCACATCGCAACGCCAACGTCCAGCTCTACACTCTGGAGCTAGCGAATGCGTTGTCGCAGAATTGTGGAATCCAGATGCACAGGGAGCTGGCAAGTCGGAGTTTTACAGAGGCTTTGTTGCGGCTGGCAAACGATCGAGTGCGTGCTTCCCTTCCAAGAGCCTAGAAGGCCGTGATGTCGACGACAAGGCACAGATTCGCTGATGAGTGGAATCTAGAATACGCATCAACAAGTCAAATCCAAGATAGTGGAGAGGATGGAGGCCTGGACCAAAGACTTCTCGAGTAATACCGAGTTGGGCATAATGGAGCAGGCATACATGAGATTGAAAGCGCAGAGTGAGTTCGCCATGAAGTATCGACAAGAGTCCCTCCCCGATGCTGACCGCGGAGGCTAGATCCCAACCTCCAACCCCCTCAAGCCCCCGTTAAGAGTGCGATCACGGATTGGGATAGACGAAGGGAAGAGGAAGAACTACAGATGGCTCTCAAACTTTCGATCCAAGACAAATCTGTCGCAGGTCCCTCTGCTCAACCCTCTGGCAGTCCGGCGGAGCTAGCAGCCCAGCCGCCGGGTAGTGTTTCGCAACAGGCAGAGCATCAACCCGTGCCCTCAGGGACAACTGCCGCAACCGTTTCACGAGTACGGGCTCTCTTTGACTTTCAGCCTTCTGAACCGGGCGAGCTTCAGTTCCGCAAGGGCGACGTAATAGCCGTTCTTGAATCCGTATACAAAGACTGGTGGAAGGGGTCTTTGCGCGGCCAAACGGGCATCTTTCCCCTCAACTATGTCGAAAAACTACAAGACCCCACTCCCGAGGAGTTGCAGAAAGAAGCACAAATGGAAGCAGAGGTTTTTGGCCAGATCAAGAATGTCGAGAAACTGCTTGCCCTGTTAAGCACGAGTACGGGAGACACGAACGTGCGCGACAACGAAGAGATCACCGAGTTGTACCACAGCACGTTGGCAATACGACCAAAGTTAATTGAACTGATAGGGAAATATACGCAAAAGAAAGGTAATCCAGACAGGACGATGGACTTGTCCCGTGCAATGAAATGCTAACGTATACAGACGATTTCCAGCAACTCAACGAGAAATTTATCAAAGCCCGCCGCGATTATGAAGCACTTTTGGAGTCATCCATGGCACAATCCGCTGCACAATACGCTCGTCCTGGTCCTGCAACATACGGATATGGGCCTGCAGGGGGCGGACCACCAGTCCAGCAGGGATATCCGCCTCAGAGATTCTACACGCCTGGTGAGTTCTGAACCATTTTCGGGACACGCTCGTCAAAGACACCATCTAAATAGGGGTATTTCCAGACGGCCAACCTCCCAACAATGCCATGCCCTACGCTTCAAACCAGCAAGCGCAACAGCCAGCCTTTCAGCCTCCATATCCGGTAGCCTCGCCGCCACCCCCAAGCCAGACGCCATCAAATCAACCTCAACCTCCCCCTTCTCAACTACCCGATAGTTACGCCGCTTACCCGAATCCCGCACAAGGACCACTCCGCCGTCAATCACACCCTCCGCCCTCGGAGCCTTATGCGGCGTTTCCTCCGGCCGCTGACGGTTCTGCTCCACCAGGACGCCAATCGTACCCATCCATTCAGCCGCCGAATGTAGCACAGTTGCAGTATGGAGAGGACGGGAAAGATTACTCGCCTTCCAACTACTCGACCGAGGATCTCAGCCACCAACATCTACCAGCAACATCACAGCCTCCCTCGGGGCCTCCACAGCCATATCCGCCACAACAAGGGATCCCTATGGGGCAACAGCCACCTTCGCAGCCTCCACCCACGCTGTATCCATCGTCTCAACCACCAGCGTCATATGATTATCCGGTGCCAACCATCAGCTCCCCGCCTCCAGCACCCAGTCATGGCCCACCCGCGGTCCCCAGCGATCCTGCGCAAAGGCCGATCACGCCACTAGCACAGAACTCGGCTTATCCAGTGTTTTCACCGACGCAGACACAGGCGAATCCGCAGTATCAAGCTTATAGTCAGAGGCCAACGAGCTATTACAGGTAAATGAGGTTACGGACGAGCAGGAGTCTGCCGAGGGAATACGAGATGGGAGGAAGGGAATGGCCATTCGAGGGATCGCTTCTAGGACTTGCGAAGATCTCGTCATAGGTCTGGATCATATTGCAACCTCAGCGTGCACTAACATGAGTTATCACGCACACTCAATCGAGATCCTCTCAACCTCTCTGTGCATTCCCTCATCCATGGCTCTCTGTTCTATCATCGAGACTTCAAATGGACTGTAGAAGCAATGAAGTCAAGTTATTTCTGGGAAACCACGAGCGCTTTCTTCGCATCACAATGGAAGCGGGAACCTGATTTCGGGCATTGGAAAGTTTTAGGAGGGGAATCTTGACGACTACTAACGACCAATGCTCGGCGTATCTGAAATGCGGGAGGAACATGAGGAGAAGGGAGGGGACAAGGGGAGTTTGGTTTGGTGTTTCAACGGGCATTATCGTGGCGTGGGTGTGGCGTTGCGTTGTCCGTGTCCATAAGGTGTGATACCTGACTGTTGTGTCGTATGAACGACGCACACGAGGAGAATCTCGGGGAACGAAGAAAGAAAGCCGTTTGTCTTGCGCAACTGACTTGACTGATTGACCGAACCGATGAAAGACAAGACCCCCAACGAAATGAAATGACCAACGAACGAACGACTCATTGTCGAATCTTATAATCTTCTAAAGTGCATTGTGTGTGCAAAAGATAATGGACATGTTTGTTGGTCATGGAGTTTCTGAGCTTGTCGTTCTCGTTGTCAGTGTCAATGTCGATGTCGATTCCCCTGCCTCGCTATAGCGACTCTTACCTCCCTCACCTCCCTTACTTTCCTTCTGCTTTGCTTTGATTTGCTTTGCTCGGCTCGATGCGATTCGATGCGATTCGATTCGATTCGACCCGGCCCGACTCGACTCAGTTAGTTGAACAGTGGCAAAGCAGCCTTGTTCGGCCGCGGGGAGAAAGAGGGGGAGATTTCGAACTCTGAAGGAAGATGGTATTTTTTCAGCCGCTGGGAAGGATATTCGCGGTGCATTCACGCGTGGTGCACAAATGAATGAATGGGTGATTGTTGCTGTTCCCCTTGTAAGGTTCTTGTTGGGAACTCGACGTATATGTATATATATGTATGGATCTCAATACCGGAGAGTCTTCATCTTCATCTTCCGTCGATACCACCCGAGGTCCCGTCTGCCAGTCTGCCAGTCAGTCAGTCCGTCGGTCATGGCATATCATGTCATTCATATCATGTCATGCGTACTGCGTCTCGGGACTTCGGAGGTCGGAGTGTTTTGTCCTTCGCTTCCCATACATACCTATACAAACATAACATACTTAACACGCATACATATACTTACTGACTTACGGGCGACGATACGGTACCTTACGTGTCTCCTACGGTTCACTTCCCTGAGGTACACGACGAGAGGTTCCCCCTCCCCACATTACCGGTAACTGCATCCAACTCGGAACCCATCCACATCTCTACCCCCCTACCTCTCTGCCCCTACCCCACCCCGCCCGGAACCCCCTTCCCTGTCTCCGTCAATGCCTACGCCTAGTTACCCATCTACGTGTAGGTAGGTAGCTACAGTAAATCGAGATTCTATAGAATTCCATTCAATAGGTAGCGCAGGTATGTGTCCAGCTGGCAGTGACACTCCATTTTCTTGTTCTCGTTCTCGTGTGGGCTGGGAAAGCGACTGCTCGGAAAGGAACCCCGAGATGTCCGAGTTGGGTTCGAGATGAACAGCACAAACTCACTGGAACGCAATGTTCGGGGGTGGTAAGGGCAAGGGGGTCGTATATCAATGTGAAACCCAGGAAACACTTCAGAACTTGAGCAGTCTCTTTCAACTACAGAAAGCCACCCCCATAGCCCAGATCTCTATCGTTGTAGTATTAAGCATCGAACATCTAGACTCGACTGAAACATTGCCAAACACCCAAAGCATGAGCAAGGGAGCTCCAAGTGTGCGTCGTACGTGGATCCTTCCAGATTGGTTGTCTGAGCTGGGTGGATGGCTTTCTCGATTACTTGTAGCTTGATGTCGAAGTAGCATGGTTTTGTCCGTTTTGTATTCACAGCTGAGCAAAATGTGTGGGACAGGGGCTTCTGACCCAAGTAGATTTGCCGCACCCGGCGCATTCGCTTTGCACTCAACACGCAATGCAGCCACCTTTTGTAAATGTGCACTTCCCAGAAACGAAATCGAACGTTGGCATGTTCTTGATCCTGCAACCCATCCCAGTGACCCGGTATTTCACAGCCAGCACTCCCACATTCGGAAATCCATCTATTTCTTATCTTGGGTTTGCATGTAGGTGTATCCGAAATATGCGAGGGCCGCACCGACCAAAAGAACAGCATACATGGCAACACCCGTGCCGGTATCTGCGGAACTTCCGCCGGGACCAGCAGCAATCTTGTCAGTGGCACCGACCTTGGGGGCTGGGTCACCCGGAGCGCGTTTTAGGGAGCCGACAATGAGGCCCTCCAGGATTTCGCGGGCTTCATCTGAATGGCCGACGTCTTCAAAGGCTTCGGTTGCATCTTGACCTCCTACGTCGAGGAGGACTTCTTCACCGCCACTATAAACGATTACACATAAGCATCAGTCACGAACACACGTGAAGCAGGCTGGAGCATGAACTCGACATCAAAATGCGCAATCACAATGTGGGGCAATCAGCGGTGGGGGATAGAGAGGCATTGGAAAGCATGTGGGAGCAACATACGGATGCTCGTCGACGAAAGATGAGGCATTGTAGACCTTGTCGTGGATGACCACATAGAGATCTTTCTTGGTGTTGTGCTTCGACACCTCTGCGTATGTGAGGTCTTGAGACATGGCTGCGGAGATGGGGACTGCGATTGAGTGAGATGAGGACGGCTTCTATCGAATCGGGGTTGATGAGGTGGATTCGTGTGAAAATTCGACTCGGGAGGGGAGGACAAGAGGAGGACGACGGATACGAAAGGAGCAGCGAGGGTGCGAGCGAAGAGGAGAGGATCTATCAATTGATTATTGTGTGAAGAGAAGTGCCAGATTGTCGGTCGGGGAGAGTCAGTTGTGGCCGCAGTAATTAAGCCAACAGCAGCGGCCGAGAAACTGAAAGAAACTGCGCAGGGACCATGTGGTGGAGCCACAGCAACCGCCATGCACACAATCCGGTCACTTTGGTTCATATTCGGTCGGCAAGCGAATCGGAAGGCAGGTGATGGTAAGGTCCAACATGGCGGGACTTGATGCCCCAAACCTGTCAGCCCGCTTCCGATGACTTTCCGTCTTCCACCGACTGTCGTCAACAAGTATAGTTGCGCTCAATTCCGCCCTGCCATCGCTACACTCGGCCTCGGAGAAGTTTGCCTTATTTGGTCGGCCCTTGTGGGACGTATTCCGTATCTCGTTCCAGGAATCTGGGGGATGCGGGTGGACGCGAAGGTCCCAAGCAATTATTAGCATCACGTGTTTTCGTGCGGGCAAGCAGGTCGCGGATAAGGACCCAAAAGGAGTGCGGAGAGGGTGTCTTCCATCATCTGTAAACAAAGCCAACACCACCTGCGCCCAACGAGATGCAACGATAGCACTACCACCGAAATCCCACATGCTCACCACCCAGCGGTAAATGTCAGGCCACATTGTATATCATGGTGTGCCACACACGCACAATGATGACAGCGACCGGGAATCTTACCCGACGCTGTTCGCGGGGCAAAAACTATGGTTCTCCCATGCTATCCCCCAACGGCAGCAGATGATCCAGAAAGCTCAACTCAACGGCGCCGTGGTTGTGAGTAGAGATACTGAGGCCGATGTCAGACTTGTCGACCACCTCAGGAAGAACAATGCGCCAGGAACATACTCGTACAGATACGTTGAACTCTCCCTCCGCAATGGCCAACTCGAGAATCTGGCCGACCATGCCGTCGGAGCGCCCTCACGAGTCTCGCGGCCTGTCGGCAGTACTATCACAGCCCCTAAGTCTGGAAGGACACCCTTCACTGCGGAGGATGACCAATTCCTCTGGGACTGGATGAAACCCTTCATTGACCGTGGAGGGGCTTGGAAGGGAAATGAGATCTACAAGCAGATGGAAGAGGCGAATCCGAGACATACCTACCAGAGTTGGCGTGACAGATGGATTAAACACACTCAATTTCACAAGCGACAAGTCCGTGAGACTGTTGCCCCTGAGCAGCCTCGTATGGACGAGCCAGAAACCCGTCTATCGCATAGTGTACCCAAAAGAAGGCATCGGCCAGAATTACCTGATGATAGAGGCCGCGCACGAGCCAAACCTGGGGTCGATCCAAGTCAGTCTGTAACAGCCGTGAGTGGCAGAGTCGCAAACAGGCTGCCAAACATTGCTGCTCCACATGGGGAAGGAAGCCTCACTGTCCCGACCACTCCTAGAAGTCCCGAAGTTGTTGCCGATACGCATCACGATGACAGCCAGACACAATCTCCAACAAATCCCCAGTCTACGACCCGGGCCTCATTTACTATAGAAGAATATTACGAGCTTTACGAGTTGGCAGCGACATTTGAGGGTGGACAGTTCATTGATTTCGACACGCCATGGGAGGAGTTGGCCCGGCAGCGTGGTACACATACACCTGCCGAATGGAAGCATTTCTTTATTTCAAGGATTATTCCTGACTATTGCAAAGCTAAGAATTTGACTGTGTCAGAGGCTGCTCCTTATTTGGCGGGCGAACCTGACGAACATACTACGAACACAGACGAACTGCTCGACTCCAGGGAAAAGGTTGAGGCGACATCTGTCACATCTGAAACCCAAGACGATGCCGAATGTGCAAATTGCTTTACCACCGAAACTGTCAGATGGCGACATGATAAAGAGGGCAAGCTCATTTGCGATGAATGTGCCAAGTTTGTGAGACGACATGGCTATCACAGGCCGTCGACAGCTTTGTCGGTCGACGATGCTGCGATGAACAAGGACGAAGACAAACAACCCGAAATACATGCAAGAAAGCGTCGCATCACAGACGGTCGGACCAATTCCGCCGCCAGCACCAATCTTCCCCAAAATACCAATCGTGTAGGCAGCACTAGCTCTCCAGCGCCTGTTCGCGGAGACTACCCTCAACAGGTACCGTCTGACACACCACCCTCATTTCAGCTTGAGACTTCACTCGCAAGTCGTCCGCCTGGACCTAACGAGTCAAGGAAGAGGCGTGCTGGAAAGGGTTCACAGTCGCAGTCTACGCAGGAATCCAGTCAATCCGGCACTCAAAGCCAGACCGTGGACGACAGTCTTCGACAGGAAAGCCACAATCAAACGCTACCGTCGAAAGGTCTGACAGCAGATATGCGAGAATTCCAGTCTAGGGAAAGTGACACCCATGCACAACCTTCAACCGTTAGTGAAAACGACACATCGCGAGAAGCTGCAACCGCGTTCCTGGTCTCTGTGGGAGGGAAACGTAAGCCTCCGCAAGATGAGCTGGGGGACATAAGTTGTTGGCAACACTCTTCAATCAGCATACAGAACACAATCCGTAGTTCATCACGCAGCCTAGTAGTGACGGATTCACAGTGGGATGATGCGCTCCTTCACCCTATGACTTCGTCTAACCCGCCCAAGCGTGCACGAACCTTTCGTGGCTACTCCCCAGTCTCTGCCACGCAGTCTGACAATGATGATGACGAGATGCGCAAACACTCTAGGAGATCAAAGTCGGGTCTAGCTGCAGATTTCAGTGGCTCTGCTACCCCCTTGCGAGACCAGGCATCCGAACAATTCGAGACTGCCCAGGAGTCCATCTGGGAATACGAGACAGGACCAGAAGAACCGCTTCAGTCAAACGGTCAGAGAAAGACACCACTGGCACTGTCTAATCGGCCTGAAGACATCAAAGCCGAGCTTGCCATAGCTATTGAACATCCAGAGTCTTCAGACAGGATCGACGCAGTTAGCGACGGTATATCTGATGTGGCTCATGAAGAAAATATCAGGGTGAATGCCACGAGGCTCACAGAAATAGATGAATCCGACCACAGCCAGGATTTTCTGAAAGTCCGGCGCAGGCTGAGTGACCACAGCTTCCTTGAACCTCCTCCGATTCTCTCATATCCTGCTCTTGGGAATCCGCAGGCGTCATCTGGCGCTGCAGATATGCCAAGTTCCTCGGAAGATGCCAGTGGCAAGAGGGGAGAAGTCGAGGAAGAGCAGATAGAACAAGAAACCAGAGAGGATTCGTCTCCTGAGCCTGACGGTCACGAAACAGATGAATGGATGGCTCTTCAGCAAACCCTGCATTCAAACGTCCCGGACTTGGAACCCGTGCTGTTCAAAGCCCTCGAGTCCACCAGCTTCGATTTTGGACTCGCAAGTGAAGTCGTGGAGATAATGCTAACAAATCGACGTCGTGTCCTAGAGGAGCAGCGAGGGCGGGGCCTAAGGAGCGGCACCGGAAAGTTGACTGAGCTAGCAGAAGCCAACTTGGATATGGAGGGTCTCCTCCCACGAGCTATGCGGGGCGTCTGGACCGAGACGGATGACTCTCTCCTCCTTAGTCCAGACGCAAATGATATGAATACGGTGTTGAGGAAGCATGGGCGAAACGTATGTGATTTGCGCTTCGAGTTTTTGAGGCACTTCGTGGAGGAGTGACGGATGGATCGCGAGGACCAACAGCACTTGGAAGTCAATCTGTCGCAACGGAAATGGAGTTGTCCGAGCAGACGAGGACTACATATGGAACAGCAACTAGTCGGAGAGTGGGCGAGCTGTGGTCTTTTCATCACACATTTTAAGCTGTCTATACTGGCATGCCCGCAATAGCTGGGATATTCTAGGAGAGGCCGGAACAGAGCTGATCCAGATGCCACAAGCTATTGCTAAAATGAAAGGCAAGCAGGGCAGAAAAAGTAAGGAGACAGAAGAAGAAAGACACGCGTAGCCTTTGCGTACTGTATTGCCCGCCACCTAGAACGCTACACCCTTGGCCTCCTGAGGAAGCAGTACCAGCCAGCTCTCGCGATAGAACCGGCTACAAGTAAAACAGTTCCATGCTCACTCACCAACGTCTACAGCGTCATCTTCGCTTCCACCAAGTACCAGTATACGAGTAAGCGTCCGATACTGTCTGATTCCAGCCCAGTCGAAACCAGCTTCGGGCTTCTTGGGATGGACCAAGTTCAACTAAGCCCAGCTTCGCACGCGAATCAGAGGACAAGGGCCACATCACGGATGCAAGCAAGGCAAAGGACGTTTGTCGAGAAGAGAGAAGACAGGGTCTGGTGCTGTCTGTGGGCTGTGCTGTGAATTCACTGACTGACTGACTGAGCTGTACTCGCGAGGTACTTTGAATAGGCAATGTCCCTCCATCTCCCAAGCCACCAAGATTCGGTGTTTCCCTAGATCTTTGGCAAGAAGGGGTCGGAAAAAGGGAAGAGGAAAAACTGGCTCACCGTCTGTTTTGCGGTCTTGCTATGTTTTCCCGACGTCCTCTCTCTCCCCTCTTGAGAGGGTTTCATTGAGACATGCAGCTCTCAACTGCTCACTGCCACACTACCACACTACTTAGCGACATTATGCTAATCCGTTGCTTCGACGCGGCCCGTTGGAATCATTCATTTCTTTTCCCCCTGTCCATGCCCGAAAATACCTACCTCTCCCCTACCAGTTTTCCCAATACCTACAATACTCCTGGCCGTGAAATCCCCTGTGTGATGTTCCTCTCTCTTCCATGGTCAAAACACACACGCTTTAGGCCTCCCCCGAAAACCCCGTTGTTTCCAGCGCCATACATACGCAAAAAGAAGTCGTCAAAATCTCCGGGCAATCCAAGGAAGGTAATCACCCCCCAGGGAGGCTGCCGTCAATTTTGTCGACTGAAAAGATTAGAAAAGTGGTCGAGGAATAATATACAGGCTTCCGTGGGAAGAAGCTTGGATCAGAGTCCACTAACTGCAGCTCGTTTGTCAGAACATTCCGTGCTTCCGCTCTCGGGTTATTTTGAGGCCCTTATCTTACTTGAACTTGAGATGTTCTTCGTAGAACTTGAGCATCGCTCGGGGGCAATGCTCGGATATGAGTTTCATACCGACTTTTGACCGTTTGCCATTCTTGAACTTGATGTAGACGAGTAATTGGCCGGCTTCATCTCGCTCCACCGTCTCGATCTTGGCCACCAGTTCCTCCCAGTTTTGTTTGTTGGGGAGCCACGTACCAACTTCCTCCTCGGCATGACTCGCTGACGCCTCAGTGTTGCGCTTCCGACGCTTTGCGGCGGGCTGGTCATCGGTAGAGGCTTGTGTGGGCAACTTTTGCTTGGCCTTTGCCCTCTTGACGGGTGGAGTTGGACGTCCGCCAATCTTTTCGTGGTAGTCTGCGAGGAGCTGGCGAGCATGTCTAGAAAAAAAGGGGAATTGTGTTAGCCGTGGTTGCGGTCGCGATCGCGACCCTGTGCCGACAAGATAGAGGCATTGGTCAGACGTACGGTAATAAATGCTCTTCAGGTTCCCAGGTATTGTCTTTTTGACCATAGCCTTGCCATTTGATCCAGTAGTACACCTGGCCTTTTAGGAATTTGTGATTTCGAATCGTCTCGGCGATGTACATGGCTTCTTCTTCTTCTTCAATGCTTTCCGAATCGTCGTCTTCGGAGTCGTCGTCGCCTTCTTTGGCCCCGCCTTTCGTATCATCCTCTGAAGCCCGAGTCTTGCCTTTAGAAGCCTCTGGGGCCTCCTTGTCATCCTCTGAAGCCCGAGTCTTGCCTTGAGAAGCCTCTGGGGCCTCCTTCTCATCCTCGTCGTCCTCATCATTGTCGTCGTGGGGACTCTCTTCCTCTTCATCAGCCTTGTCTTTCAAATCTCCATTGACTTGTTTCTTCGCCGCGGAGTCGGCGTCAGGCTCTGGGTCGTGAAAGATGTCGTCTGCATCTTCAATATCTTCTGTGCGACCGGTCAGCTATTGGTCAAGGCTGTGCGCGACAAACCACTGCCCGGGAGGTGAAGCTGAGGACAAAGTGGAGTCGACAATGGTCCAACCTACCGAATCCTTGAGGCATTTTGAACTGCTGCAAGCTGTGGATAGAGCGCGCTTAGTTGGATGACAGTTCTAGCACAAACTTGCGACGCGACAGGATTGAGATGTACAGTTGCACCAGCTTTCACAACGACTTTGTTGCGACGAGAGAGGGACAATATCGCGACGCGGAGAAAGCAACTGCGGACCTCACGTGGGAGATCCCTCCCCAGTCCGCTACTTTAATCTGGCGCTAGCGGTTTATCTTGGCGTTCACCATCAAGGGGCAGTGGTGGACGAGAAACAAAGGGCATCAATCTCCATACAATCCAGCCCAAACTCTCATGCAAAACAAGGAATCCACACTCCGTAGCCGTCTTTGTGTCGGAGTTTCTCAACGTCTGCCCTGCATAGTCCGTTGACCTCAACTATTTAAACTTCCCCTAGAGGCCACACACGATAGTGTCGTCAATTCTCCCTCGAAATGATAGGGATTAAGTAGCATTTCCTCTCGACTCGGTTTTTGTGAAACCCACATCCCGCAGCAGATGCGTGACGAGGTCAGGAGCACAGTTGATAGGGGATCTAGCTCAACGAAGGTCGGCTCTATCTGCAGGCAGTCCACCGTTGACGTTGGCGTCGAAGCTCTCGGTGCAGCACCAAATGTCTGGGCATTCATCCACCTGTCTCAACGACGAACGCATGCGACGCAGGCCAGATCTCTAGACGGAGACATGCATTTCCAGGCAGTTCGGGTATACACGTTGGCGAGCTCGAGTACGGCTATTGTTGGCGTGGCGCACAAGGCGGTGGCCGAGTGATTCGGACTTGATGCTGAAAAGGTGGAAGATCTGTTGGGTTAATAATATGTCACTCACGGTCGCACCTAGCGGGAATGCAAGGCCAAATCTCTGCTCCATACTCTGGCTAGTGTTGATTCAATCGCTACTGCACTTTGGACCACATTGAATGACTGGTGCCCATGACGCTCTAGTCCTCAGGCGAACTCGTATATGGTCAGAGAGATGCTTTAAAGACACAGAATTGTAGAGCCAGAGACTATCAAGCCGAGCACCGGAATGTATTTAGGACTACTAATGGTGTAACCAAGCATTCTGGCATGAAGTTTACAGTTCGAAACAAGATTAGGGCGGCGTCAACCGTTGGTGACCAGGAGATGTTCATCTTGGCTCGGGGCGCAAAAGCAGCAGGACACGAGGGTCTCCAAAATTTTGAGATGTTCGCTTCACCACTCGTGGACCAGATCTGCGGGCAGTTAACTATCACTTGGGGACACGCACATTGGATTGTCAACGTCTTATCCGACTTCAGGTTCTCTCAGGGGTAATATTTGAGACCCAACGACCTAGGAACGAAGGCCCTTTTACATCGATCCGTCTGTGCCAACCTCTACGCAGCCACTAGGCATCGACCAACTCACGCCATATTTACGCCCACGTCGAATCAGCAGAAATCCGCGACGAAGACTGAAGAGGCGGGCGAGTCTGGTCGGACCGAGATACCTTCACCATGGCGATGCAACTGGATCTATCTCAGGCACAAATTCTGAAAGATGAGACGGGAAGGCCTTTCATTGTGGTCCGAGACCAGGGAAAGAAGAAGAGAACACATGGCATAGAAGCAGTCAAGCAACACATCGTTGCCGCTCGCACGATCGCCAATATTGTGAGAACCTCGTTGGGGCCACGAGGTCTCGATAAGATCCTCATATCTCCAGACGGGGACATCCAGATATCGAACGACGGTCGCACAATCATGTCGGAGATGGAAATCACACACCCCATTGCTAAACTCATGGTCGAACTTTCAAAATCACAAGATGAAGAAATTGGTGATGGTACCACGGGCGTCGTCGTCCTGGCTGCTGCTCTCCTCGATCAAGCCGCAGACCTCATCGACAAAGGCATCCATCCCATTCGGATTGCAGACGGTTTCGACCAGGCTTGTGAGGTTGCCGTGGCACATCTGGACAAGATCAGCGACGAGATTGCCTTCAGTCGCGAGAAGCAGGAGAATCTGATCAAGGTTGCCAAAACGAGTCTTGGAAGCAAGATCGTCAGCAAGTCTCACGACCAGTTCGCGAAGATTGCTGTCGATGCCGTCATGTCTGTTGCCGACCTCGACCGAAAAGATGTCGATTTCGAACTCATCAAGGTCGACGGCAAAGCGGGCGGTTCGATCGAAGACTCTCTGCTGGTAAAAGGAGTCATCATTGACAAGGACTTTTCTCATCCACAAATGCCAAGCGAGGTGAGGGACGCCAAACTGGCGATCCTGACATGTGCCTTCGAACCTCCCAAGCCGAAAACGAAGCACAAGCTCGACATATCTACGGTCGAAGAATTCAAGAAGCTACAACAATACGAAAAGAATAAATTTGTGGAGATGATTGATATGATCAAAGCTACGGGAGCAAATCTCGTGATCTGTCAGTGGGGTTTCGATGATGAGGCAAACCACCTGCTTCTTCAGAACAAGCTTCCAGCTGTACGCTGGGTTGGCGGACCCGAGATCGAGCTGATTGCAATTGCCACCAACGGCCGAATCGTGCCGCGATTCGAGGACCTGAGCAGCGAGAAGCTAGGCACGGCTGGTATTGTTCGGGAAATGACATTTGGGACCACCCGAGAAAAGATGTTGGTGATTGAGGAGTGCGCCAATACGAGAGCGGTCACAGTCTTCGTGAGGGGCAGCAACAAGATGATCATCGACGAAGCGAAGAGATCACTCCATGACGCTCTCTGTGTTGTTCGTAATCTAGTTAGAGACAACCGAGTCGTCTATGGTGGCGGTGCGGCTGAGATTGCTTGTTCCATCGCTGTCGAGGATGCGGCCTCGAAATCACCGGGTCTGGAACAGTATGCCATGAGAGCGTTTGCCGACGCCTTGGATGCCATTCCGATGGCACTGGCAGAGAATTCTGGTCTGAGTCCCATTGAGACATTGGCCGCGGTGAAGTCGCGGCAGATCAAGGAACAGAACTCTCGGCTGGGTGTTGATTGCATGGGAACGGGAAACAATGGTATGTGACATTGCTTTGCTGGTCTTCGGCCTCTGCTGACTTGTGCAAGATATGCGTGCCAACTTTGTCATCGACCCCCTGATTGGAAAACGGCAGCAGTTGCTCCTTGCAACACAGTTATGTCGAATGGTAAGTTTGGTCGTCCTGCCATGTGATCTATGCAGCTCACGAATGTCCAATAGGTCCTGAAAATCAACAATGTGATTGTGGCGGGGAACGATGATAACGATTTTTAGACTTGTTCCGGCAGCAGCAGCAGCGCGTCAGCATTTCACGGCGTTTATGCAAAAGACCTGCATGAAGATATGATTCGAAAGAATGTACAAAATGATACCCGTCGGCAGATCGGATAGAAAAATCAAAAGCTGTTGAACGTCATCAAAGTGGCCTTGTCTGCATTGGAATTATTTCGCTTGACTTCGGTTCTCGTAGAGGACAGGTCTATGAGTCTTCACCATCTGGGGATCATCCTATGGGAGATGACAAGTCCAGCGGCAGACACAGCCTTGATCTTCTCCTACCGAAGGCGCCGTTGTTCGTGCTGTTGGCAGTGCCTCAGGTTTTCGCTCGATATCATATTGAGATGTTCTCAGAGCCTCCGCCTTGGATGAGAGAGGCAGTTTGTCTCGTATCAGCCGTGTTTGCCCCGATCATGTCGATATAAGGGAAGCCCCAATCGTCTGACCCACGATCGACAGGAGTTGACAAAGCCGGATCATGCAAGCCTGGCGGTGGAGCCAGAGAAAACATGTCCATGTTGATTGGCTCTTCAGAGGTAAGCCGCCTGCATATCAGCTCCACAACTGACAAAGTTGCGAGTCAGCATGACGAGAAGGTTTTAGTGCTCTGCGCAGTTCTTGCCCTGGGATTGAAGTGTTGTCCTGGGTACGCCACAAGCTGACAAGAATTCTCTCGCAAAATGGACAGTGCTTCGAGCAGAAGGAACATAAGAAATGAAAGACGCAATGCATGCCCAACCGTCACGAATTGTCTTCGAACGGAGACTGCCGACAGCGGCAAGGAGGGAGGAGGACGACTGGACCGGCCTGTCGGATGCAAGAATTAGGAGAAGAATTCAAAATCGTCTGAATCAGCGGACTTATCGTATGTTGAGGAAATCTGCCCAACGATCATGCAGTTGCCTGACAAACTGTTGAGCTTCCAGGCCTCCGAAGAGCAGCTGAACGAGCGGCCGAACAGGCGTCAGCGACCTGCAGCCCGCAAACACTCGTTCCACTCGCACCTAAGGAGGTTGTACCTGCAGCAGATCCGGAAATAAAAGTCAATCAGATAGTGTCTAAGCGAGACGGTTCGTTCCACAATGTTGCCCGCCATCAGGTCACATTGAGCCCTCAGCCGGTGCTTTGTCGAATCTCCTCTTCAGAACCCCCATGTGCAGCACTGCTGGCGAATCCCAAGGTACGGAGAGTATACGACTACACTGTCAAAACTCTTTGGCCGTCGTTCAAGCATCACAGCCTCGAGACCAACGAGTCCTTGACCTCAGCCTTCCTCCATCTCAGCCTGGTCGACGAGCTGCTGCTCAATTCATTCATATGGACAGCCGCGATGGCAATGTCGATGCACCTGCCTCATACCGCCATTGACAACGAAACGGTCATGTTCACCTGCCAGAACAAAGCCGTCCAGGGGATCCGGGAGCACATCGCGCGGAACGAAGCGTCGGACTCGGTGATCTTTGGAGTCCTCGCCCTCACGATCCGCGACACTAACCCACGTGTCGCCGTGCAGGAGGGCGCGGGAGAAGACTGCTTCGGGGGTTTCGATCCTCCGCTGCGATCGCTCGGGTGGATACAATATTTCTCCCACTTTCGCTGGACGCCGTCCCACATCCGAGCGACCATTGCACTAGTGGCTGCGCGAGGAGGTTTGCAAGGCGTCACGATGCCCGGTATCGCCGAGCAGATCCAGTCGACCGACCTTCTCCAGGCAAGCTTGTCGATCCGCCGCCCATATTTCACCCTCTGTCGCCTGTACCAGCATGTCCTGGACAACCACGTCAAGTTGATCCGCCCACCGCGGGAGAGACTGGACGAGGCTTTCCCAGTCATTGCCGACGCCGAGTTCAAGGATCTGCTCCTCGACATGAGAATGTACTGTCGGGAGCTAGATAGGGCCGTTGCCACCATCACCACCGCCGCCGCCGCCGCCGCCACCGAATCCAATCTTTCCGAGGCTGGTGGTGGTCACGACCCTGACAACCCTGTGCCCGCGTCAGTGGCCTGGGAAACAAATGTCTACCGCAACCTCATCCAGTACCGGCTCCTGCGTCTGCCCCGTTACGAGAACCGCGAGGAGGAACTCTGTCGTCTCGGAGCCATGATTTTTAGCTACGGCGTCATATACCCCGTGGCCCGGCCGAGACCCTTGCGTATGCTGGTCGCTCAGTTGAGGAATGCGTTGGAGGACTTTCTCTTCCACTCTTTCTCGACGCCGAGTATCAACTCCAAGACACCAACGCCCGCTTCGCACGATGGAAGTGGTGAATATGGCAGATATCCCACACATTACTCTACTACTACCACCACCACCACCACCACGAACACCACGCCGGATGGACAGTGCTCTGTTCCTCCTCCATCTCATCCTCCATCGGCATTCCTCCTATGGCTCGCCGTACTAGGCGCTCTCGCGTCCCAGACCACCGCGGATGAACCCTTCTTCCTCGATCTCGTGGCCTCCTGGTCCACCACGGTAATGGGTATCAACAGCCCTCGCCGCCAATTCACCCATTTCCGCGACCTCATGCGGAGTTTTCTTTGGCTCGACCGTGCTTGTGACAAGGGCGCACGCAAAGTGTGGACGAGACTCTGTTCCGCTGGTCATGGTGATGGTGATGACTGCTGTGAAGAACGAGAACGGGAACGAGGACGAAAACCAGGGACCAACTCGGAAGAAGAGAGTTGCATTGATTCATCTGCGTCGATGTCACGGCAGAAACATCGACAACCACAGGAGTCACAGGGAGAAAGGAACAAGGCTGGCGGGACACAGGGGTCTGGGTCTGGGTCCGGATCATGGCACTTTGGCGATCTGATATGTCCGGAGTAAGTAAGTCAGGCACGAACATGCACGGACAACGAGGGGAGGGGGGAGGTGTGTCGAATACCTAGTACCGACTGCATAAGCGCACGGGCGCACTGGGCGCATAGGAGTTTGGTCATCGCTCGTCTACTTACATATGTACGTACGTACATACATACATACATACATACATACACACATACATACCTACATACTCGCATAGTCGCATCGGTACCTAGGCAGGTTGGTAGATAGATTATCTCCATGACATGATACCTGAGTACCTAGGCACCTCCCCTACAGGTAAGAGAGAAGAAAAACTGGCGTAGACTTTTCGCATTATCATTGCTATTGTATTGTCTTATACCTCATGTTTTATTACATTCTGTTCTGTGTGTGAGAGGTCGACACGTCCGTCGACAAGAATGCAACCAGGTCATGGTTCTTCTCGCAATGGACGGACTGGACGTCAATTCGTCAGTCAGGGTTAGCTACATAGCTAGAGCCTCCTTCTCGAAAAGGGGGCAATGAGGGACAACACTATTTTGCTGCTTTGCTTGCTACTTTGTACCGTCCTTCTTGGTCGCAGTCGAGGCGGATCCCACGGCGCTGCCTCTGGGCCGTTTATATTTCCTCTTCTCCTTGCGGCTCATCAGCCCCTTCTCCCTGGTCCCCTTGCCGCCTTCCCAGAAGCCGCCGGCGGCCTTGCGTCGCCGGATGACACTCCTCCCGCACACGCCGCAGTCCTCGCTCCGGAACCGCTGCTCGCGCGAACACCAGCCGCAGACCATGCGGTCGGCGTGCTCGTTGACGTGCGCCTCGGCCGCATCGTGGCATCGGTCGCACGGGTACACGCGCTGGCAGCAGCTGAAGCGGAACCATCGGTAGCTGTGGCGGTAGTGTGCGCAGGTGCCGTTGCTTGGTAGAGGTGTGCCGGCCGAGATGCCCAGGTTTTCTTTCTTCGGCCGCCGGGGTGGCAGCGCGCCCGAGGCGAATGCCGAGGACGCGCGCAGGAACTTGACCTCGTGGATCGTAAAGGTCATTTTGGCATGACATGCGCGGCATACTTGGATCGGAGTGTCGCCACGTACCGACACCATACCCGGAGGGACGGGGAATGTCGTGGAGCACGACGCGCAGGTGGGTTGGAAGACCGACGGGAGGAGGTCGGTGATGGTACACCCTGTGACCTCGATTGTGCCAGCACGGACGCTGTTGGCGTGCAGGGCATTAGGTGTATAGGAGACTGTGAATGGTGTAGTGCACTTCGAGCAGATTTCCGTGCGTATACTCGACATGGAAGAACCGGCTATGTCAATGTTGGGTTTGATATTCGGTATGTCGAGGGGTGCTTTACAGCGCAGGCATTTGACCGAAAGTGACAGGGAGGATAAGCTCAACAGTTCAATGTTGTGGAGCTCCAAATTTGGGAACGAAATGTGAATTCCCTTTTCTGTCGAGCTCGAGGAGACTGGCAGCATGGCGCCGCCTTGTTCATTTTCTGACTCCCCGTCTTCATCCTCATCCTCAGAAGCTGAATATTCATCAGAGTTGTAGAATGATTCAGAATCGGAATCGGAGTCTTGTCGATCCCATTCAGGGGGTCGAGGGATTAATTTCACATGTGGCCTGTCCTCGTCCATGATCAGCTCTCTGGGTTCTACAGAGGCTTCCCTTTTCGAAGAAACCCCTTGTTCATCGTCGACAGGAGGCTCTGGTGGAAGTGGAACATCTGATGAAGGCACTGGAGCCGCGCTCTCTACCGATTCCAAAGCCATGGAATGAATATTCTGTGTCAGGTAATTCATATGAGCCATAAGGGTCATGTCGAGTTTCTTCCGGACATGTCTTTCAAAGGCCAGCTGGACCGTCTCAGCCTCTGGGCCACTGACTCCGTTTAGAAGGACAGTGCAAGGCTCGAGGTTATAAAGCTTCGGGACAATCAGAGTGACCTCCTTGAGCGATTGTAGGCTGGGTGGGAGCCGCTCGGATCGGGCTATTTGGATAGGAATGTTGAATTTTGTACCATCAGAACTTTTAGAGTAGTGTGGAAGCCGTCCCATGCGTGCTTCTAGCTGACGAACATCAGCTTCTCTCTTTGACAAGGCGCTGGACCTCTGCTCAGCTGTCCAGACTGGTGGACGTGGTGCCACGCGTACAGGCGGTGGTGAGGCAGGGCGAACCACGGCTGGCACAGGATCAGGGAGTCTGGGATTTTTGTCGGCATTGGCAATGATCTTGATGGTCTGCGCCTTTTCGGATGTCAGGAACCTCTCCAGGTTCTTGTCCAGCTCGTTCAACCATGCTAGTAGCGTCTTGTTCGGCGAGGCTTCGACAAGGCTGTCGAACCCCTTTTCGACGTTAATCTGAAATCCCCGAGCCATTTCGGCATTTGTGACTCTGATTGCCGGTTTGCCATTTTGAGGATAGGTGGGAGGCACTGTCAGTTGGCAACGGAGACCACCTTGCAGCTCGAATGGAAAGTCAGGGTCCGACGGAGCCAGTGCAAAGGACAAGATTGTGCCCTCATTGGTCTCTCTCCGAGCTGGACGAAACCTCTTAATCACTTGACCCAGCTCGAATTCACGCGGATCGCGCTGCTGAAGTTGGGATTGGGGCTTCTGACTTGCATTCGGGCCAGAGAGCAACGCCCTGGATCGGTGAGACAGAGGTTGGAGTCCTTGCACGGCCGATGGGCCTTGCGCAGTGTCGGGTTGTTGCTGGTCAGGTTTCGATTTAGTGCTTGTGACTCCGTCTTTAGGCTGAAGATGTTTGAACGGGCATTGCGAGCCAGCACGACAACCTACCACAGTGATTAGCTGCTCTATCACGTGGAAGTCATTGGTATGATAAACAAAGCCAAGATTGTGAGTGCACGTAACGGCCAGTGATGTGCGCAGCAGCTGAGGGTCAGCCAGGCATGAGACTGAATGCCGTGCATATTTCCATTTAGGCTACTGGAGGAATTGATTACACGGGATGGACCAATGACAAAATTAGGTGGTAAAAGACAGAAGACGGATTACCTTTGTTTGTATTGAAAAAGCGACATACCCTGGGCTGTGATTGAGCCGGTGTACCAGTGATTGGTGGTGAAATTCGAGGATGAGGTTGATGCTCAATTTGGGTGCTGACACGGCTGGTGCCTGGATGTTGGGCGCAATGCGCAAGCGATCAGCAACTGGGGTAACAACTCAGCAGTCAGATGACCGACGGGCAGTGTTTCATCGGCTGGACCATCAGGGTCCCCATCACTTGAAGCCAGAAAGGGATTCGACGCGGAGGCGCCTTGAGGGGGTCGAGAAACGGGATGGGGGCGAGTTGAACGGTGGCGAACGGGTTTTAGCCCGCGTAACCAGCTCGCCAGGCAGGGCGAAGCTGAACAAGGCAACAAAAGAGCTGCAGGCTTACTGAGGCTGGCGTCGTCAAGTGACATGATGATTGATGAGTTGGCAAAGACGATGCCGTTCATTCATCAACAAAGGTTCCTTGATTTCGGTTTTTGGTCGGCCAGATGATGGAACCGCTTGCAGGTCGGCGGAGGTGGTCGGCAGACCAAGTTCTGGGCTGGCTATTGGGATGTGAGGCACAGAAGGCGGATGATAAAGTTCCGAATCTGATCAGGGGTGGTGGATGAAAGGGTGGGAGAGGGATGGACACCGATAGTAACGAGTCTAGTTGTAGATCGGAGAGATGAGAAAGTATGAGAAGGAAAACAGAAGCGAAGGAGGAAGGGAAAGTGATCAAGTGATGCCACAGCGGCAGACTCGAGATCACAGTCCCTCTTCTTTACCTTTGATAGACGTGGTGGTGGTGGCTGTATAGACCATCAATTGAGTCATTGATGGACTGTGGCAAGTAAAGAGTTTGGATGGTTGAGTCACACAATGACTCCCATCTACATTCTTTGACACAGCGTTTCTCCTGTATGAAGAGGCGTTGAAGAAGGCGAGGTTCAAGTGCAGTGCGAAGAACCACAACGTGAGGAGAAGAGAGAAACTCGGAATGTGGACAGTGACATCATTGCCCAGAAACCGATTCACAGTGATTCCCATGGTGCCCCAGTGCCGCCCTCCCAAAGCCCCCTGGAGAGTTCGAGGCCTCCCTAGCCTCTCCCCAAGAAGCAAATACAGGGCATATCGCATCTTGTCCGTTGATCATCATCGTCTCTCTCATGCAATGAACTTCTACCACTTTCTTCTTCGGGAACTTTACCTACCCACCTACCTAAATTTCTGTATCGTAACTCAAGTGTATCAGAACTGGAATTCCGTAAATTCTGTATCCCCTGTTTTGGGTCATTACGGAGGCCGTTATCACATATTTTTATCATGGATGGTGATACTCGTACGGGTCCCAGGGAGCACTCGGGCCCCAACGTGATGAGTTCATTGCCAGTTACTGGCTCGCCTAGTTTAACCAAGTCACAGCCTAAGTTGGAGGAGAGGAAAGGGGGGGTGATACCTGTACCTCGTACGAGGGACTGTCCTAGCACAGTCCGATGCTACTTGGCTACCTAGGCGAGTTGGTTAGTACCTATTTGTGCGGCCTACAGGGTCACTCCCGCCCTCCCTCCTCTCCCCCTTCGGCTCCCCTAGGTATGCCCCTGGCCTCCCCTAGTTCCTTGTTACACCAACACACCCACCCACACTCCCCCAAGCAACCACCAACTTTACCGCCGGCTCTAACAACTAACCCCCAACCTCACCTACCTAGGTATGTACAACTACCAACAAAGCTATCTTTGACAACTGGCATAAGCAATACTCTCTGACCGATACAAACATGACAATCAAATTAGACCCCCAAATCTCCAACTGGCCACTCTACTGGACGTCTTACCCACCCCCAACCCCCAAAAATGCCAACAAATCCTTGATTGTCATTACCAAATTCAACCCAAAGCGACAGCTTGTTGCGCTCCTCCTACCAGCTCATCGCTGTCGGGGCCTCCCTAAGTCCTCGTGGAACTTGACGTGTCCGTCACCTGCTTCTTCTATCTGATAACTGACCCAGGCAGATAGGCAACTCGGTACGAGGTATATCCAGATGCCTCACTATCAGAACCATCCCACGTGAAGCCACGCACCATTCGAGACCCTCCCTTACGAGACGGCGCTACGCTTCGCGCGTGCAGACCATACGCCTCGATCCACACCCATTCCCTCGGGATATCTTAGTGCGGGTCGATCATCACAGGGACATGCTCTCGATGCATCTTCGGAAGCTAGCCATCGAAACCACCTGGCTCGCTTATGATTTCGAAAATGCCCCCTGTCAGTTGCGGTGCGGAAGGTGCCGTTCCCGATGGGAAGAGCTCGGCATGCGCCAGGGCCACGCAGGGCCTGAGGGATCCACAGTTCCACAGCCTGATCGCCCGCACGCAGCGCCCGCAGCGCCCGCAGCGCCGTCTCCCACTTATTCTCTCCTTCCTCCTTCCTTCTTCCTTCCTGTCGTCCTGGCGAGTTGACCGTCTCTGAACGGATCATGGGATAGACTCTCTAGCTCTCGGGAGAGGTCCTCTTTGTTTTGACCCTAGCCAGGCCTTGGTTGGCTTCGAACACGTTGAACGATTTGATCCCCTGATTAGGTCCAGATTCTGCTTGTCCTCATGCCCAGAGTCGTCTTGTTGCATGAAGAGCAGGCAGTTTTCTCGTTCAACTCAAGAAAGAGGCGCGTGGGATACAACCACAAGGAGATCTCCATCCATTCCACGTATCCGCGCAAGAGGAATTAGCCGTTCGATCCCTCGGACAGATCGGGTGATTCGTCATGGGGGAGATTCTGCTTGAATCTTGATAGGCAAGATGTTGCGACATAACTGACCGCCTGATTGTGCGTTGGCACCGACATGATTTGGGCCGGAGATGGAGAACGCCCTGCATGACATTGAGCATATTCCTGACATGCTGGCTTACGACTTGGTTACTCGAACCGGTGCTTTGACCTCTCACAAATCTCCTTGGAGGTGGTACAGGGGCCCTGGGAGATGTTTGAATGCGTCTCTCTCCCCATGCTGGTCATTGGGCTGTACGACATTTTCACGTGCTTCGAGATTACAGAGCTGGGAGATAAGATCTTGTCCCGAGTACAGTGATTGTATCCAGACCCTTTGCAAGCTGAAGCTCCATCTAACAGGGAGGGGAGGTACTCGGTAGAGACCGAACTGGTCGCCTCTCTACTATTTCAGTTTTCCTGTCACTGTGTGTGACTGGCCTATCGAGTACAGGCTTGGAATTGCAATGTATCGGGTAACCACCACCAATGACAGAGATGATTGATAACAGGGAGCAGCCTTTGACATGCTCTGGGCCTGTCACTCAGCCTTGCCTTACAGACATAGATTAGCAAAAATAGTCATTAGTCCATCGCTACCAAGGGTTCTCCTTTGTAGAATATCTGTGCCCAACAGTTTTGCTTCAGGCGTAGGCGCTGGCGCTGGCGTTGGTGTAGGCGTAGGCGTAGGCGTAGGCATAGGCTTTGCAATTCCATTTCCCGTACAACAGTGTCGTCGCAGGTCGCAGGTCGCCGGTCGCCGGCCTGTTCCCTGCCGCGCGCAACTCAATCTCCCCTACTAACCACCTACTACGAGTACCGAGTATGTAGATACTATATACCTCACGAGTCAAGAGCCAAGATACTGTAGGTACGCCGATGGACCTTCGAGACGATCATTGCATGCAGTTTACCCTACCGAGTAGTGCCGGGTCTTCTTGTTAGGGGGCCCCTTGGTATCGAACATTTTAACTGCCAAATCAGGTAGTCCAACAGCACCTGCGAGCGGTACGCGTAACTCGGTACCAATAATGATGTCTGGGACTCGGAAAAGTGCATGTTCTCGGTTTAGAGGTAGATACTACTAGGTACACTTCTGTCGCAGAGAGCATTCTGTACCGACGAAGGACCGTGTACTGTAACCCCCTGCCTCGACATGCTTGCCTCATCGATTTCGGAGGATTTGACTTTTACCTATGTACTTGTAGGGTGGGTGGGGATCACTACGACCGTTGGACGATTGTGGCCGTTGAATCGGTGGCTTGGTTGGTTAGTTACCTGCATGCCTGGTCAGTTACTCAATTAGTGCTTGGTTGGTGCCTTGTCCTTATTATTATTATTATCTAACTACCTTCCCTTTTCAAACGGGTGCTGATAATTAGCCGTACCTGTACCGAGCATGTAGGTACTTGTCCTTGTGCCAATTTCTGGTGGGAGTATGTAGATACATGTCAGAAAGAAAAAGGGGTCAAGTGCCGGGCGGGGGGTGAAATTGCCCAGTCGACACAGGTTGGGTTGCCGTCGCCAGCACTTCCTAGGACTAGGTAGGCAGGCACGCAGATAGGGTGGGAGGGTATTTTGTCCCACCTTCCCACCTCTCCACCCTGCGAGTAAACCGCAAAGGGGGGAAAACTTCCAGAATCATCTTGGAACTTTTGTTTCTGGGGTTTCCTTCCCCTTCTTGGAATATCATTTGTGAACAGACAGGTTTCTTGCATAAAGGAAGGACGGGGAGGGAAAGCTGCTCGTGCATAACCCTCGACAGGAGAGACATGTGATTATGAGAAATGAGAGATATCCCCGAGTACTGTGTAGCATGAGGAGGCGCATAGTATAGCACCTCAGGTTCCTGTATGTAAATAGTACCTCGTAGCGGCCTGGGTAGACACTCACAGGTATCAAGCGCTCACCATACCTACTTACCTACCAACCAGGACCTCGTCCTCGTAGACTTCTCGCCAGTCAGGTACTCACCCTGGCAGCCTGGTGCCCGACCCAATTATCCTCCT